TCGACCGAGCGACCGAGAAGCGGCCGAGTGGCGAACGAGTACGGTGCAACTAGGGAACGTTGGCGAATTTGGATGCCGGTGAATTTTCAGTCGCGCCGCGGTCCTCTGATCGAGCCTCGAAAATGCAAATGCATCCCCTACGACGCGTAATTCGATTGTCAACGACGAAATGGCGCGTAGCTCGTTGCACTGGTAAACTAGTAGCAGTTAACGCGTTAATACGCACGCTACCACTGCTCGTTTTAATACACGCGTCTGCACCGGCCATTTTAGTACACGCGTTTTAACTACACGCGTGGTTCCAGCATCGAGTACTAGAGGCTTCGCGGTCCGGCAATTTTCAGGGATGACCGCGCAACGAGCCGTTCAGAGAGGCAATACTCTCTCTCTCTCTGTGTGTGTGTGTGTGTTTACTCTTGCAGTTTGCACGCGAAACTCGCAAGGAAACGATCGAGAGCGATCGGCACGTCGATCGGGAGATGGTTCCTTATCGATGGACCGTGGAAGTATCGATCGATTAATCGCATGCCTGGGTAGCAGCACCCTCCTTTTCCGTGTCAGACTTTACTACCGCTATAAAAGCAAGACCGTCGTCGATCCTCGATAGCGAAACCGTTCGGGCCCGACGAAGAGCGGCTGGAAGATCGGCAGCGTTTTAATGGCACGCGATTCTCGGAGGAATAATCTAGGATCGACGGGTATCCCGTACAGTTTGCATGGCACGTATCGCATGGATGGCATAAAAGTTTCGTGTCACCGGTCGTTTCCCAACAGCGCCTTTTCCCTCTATCCACGCACGCTCTATGCCTGGGGATTACTTTTTCATCGGCGCACAACGAATTCCTTTGTTTGCCATAGAGACTTGCATGGAAAATGACAGTTGTCGTGCCGTCCTCGGGCCGACGGGAACGTAACGAGCATGAAAATTTAAGAGGATTCCTCTTCCGGCGCGTTGAATTAGAGGGAAGGAGGGCAGCCCGTGCTCGTTACGTTCAGCCGTTCCCGCGGAGGAGAGCTCGTCTACTCGGCGACCAATCGTGGCCGTAGATCGTTTCCGCTCTTCGACACACACGCTGCATCCTCTCTCGTCATTTGTCATTTCATTAACCGGCAGCTGGTGCGAGCAGGATTCGAATTTCTAGCCTTTGACGCGGATTACGCGTCGTTTTAGACTTCGTACCTTTTTCTCTCTCTCTTCGCGATTCCTTTCTCGCGTTCTCCATCACGGGACATCGCCGAACCGATGAACCGATGAACGTCGAAGCCCAGCACGCGACCAGGGACGACGAGCTTCGCGAAATCGAGAGTCCAGCGAATTCCCGAAGCGAGTCTCGCACCAGTATGTACGCGTTTATGGCGATCCCTCGTTTATGTTGCGTGTTGGTGTTGGTGCAAGGGGCAGGAGACACCGATATACATATGGTACGAGTCGTATCCGACCCACAGTGGCGAGGGTTACGAAGGTCGAGTCTCGAGGGTGAGCCCGACTTCGTCGTACGGCGTGGCGAGCCTCAACCTCACCGACATCCGCGAGACCGATCAAGGATGGTACGAGTGCAAGGTCTCCTTCCTCAACAGGCCGCCCAACATCTACAAGAACGGTACCTGGTTTCACCTGGACGTCCACGGTGAGTACTTTTCATTTGAGATCGATCTCGCGTTACGCTGTCGCTTTCCGTCCTACACCGATCGTCGTCGAGTCGCGAGTCTTCCTCTCCTCTCTTCTGGTCCATCGCGATTTCGAGCTCACGCGCGAGCGAGCAACGCGATCGGGTATTCCGACCGAGTCAGCATCGCGATCAATTCGACCGTCCTCCGGGGTTCGGTATCGACTTCGTTTCCCATTCTCCGCGCGACCGATCAGCCTAATCGCGCGACTGCCGATCGCTTCGGCTAACGTCGTCGGAATACCCGAGCTGGCAGCCGTGGGAAGCGGTTTATCTTCGGAAAGCGTGGCGTTCGCGTTCTCTGCGCTGGTGGCTCGGCAAGAATTTCCACTGGAGGAAAGTTGCCGGGTGGAAAAAACGCGATTACGCGACGTCGTAATATCGATTAAAAAAGACTTAACTGCGATAATAGGGGTGCGCGTCTCGAGCGAGCTCTCGCGGATGCAATTTAAGTCGAAAGTTCCATCCGAGTCGGGTCCGAGTTGGCCAAGTTTTACATCGATTCTACCTCGAAGCAGTCTCGTTAATATTATCTCGCGCTTAAGAAGATTTTACGACCGCGACGAGTAGCGTACTTTGCTCGGATGGAGAGCACGGCCAGCGAGGGGACCGTGTAACGGAGGGAAAAGTTGAACGAATTCACGGAGAGGAAGGCTGGCCGTCTGGCTGGCTTTTCCCGGTGCCTGCGAAATTTTTATATCTTCGAACGACGACGAACGGCGCTGATTCTCATCTCGCCTCGACGCGAATGAAAGGCAAGGCGGGGAGGGGCGGAGAATCCTGAAAGAGGGAGAAAAAAACGGAAGGGAAAGCAACGTCGTCGTTCGCTGGGAATTCAATTCGATTCTTTGGTCGAGCGGCGCGATAAAGTTTTACGCGTTACGTCAGCGCGTCGACGACGCTAGGACGACAGCGACCGCGTCGACGGGGTCATCGAACCGAGCGATAGGTGCAGAGAAACAGGAAAAATGGTAGCCAGGAGAAAGGAGAACTTATTGCCGCGTTTTGTTCGGCCATAAACGACGACGAACGGCCGCGGGGAAGAGAAACATTTAGATAGCTTAGGAAACGATGCGTACTCTTTTTTCCTCTCCTTTCCTCTCTCTCTCTCTCTCTCTCTCTCTGTGTTTCTCGCGACGCCGCTATGGTCGCGTCCTCGTTCACCGTTTTCACCGACTGCCTTTCCTCCGTGCTTTCTCCTCGCGGTTCGTACACGTCGAGCCCACGGCCACACTCGACCGCGTCATCGTCGTCAACAACGACGACGACGACGACGACGACGTGGACGTGGACGTGGACGTCGAGGAGGACGTGACGACAACGTCAGCGCGGAACGATTGCGACGACTAAGGATTTGCCAGCGGCGTCAAAGAGAGGAGAACCACTCGACCAGCGAAAGCGCTCAGAGTCTCTTTGTACTTTTGAAATCGTCTCTGGCCGGTCGTTTACTCGCGTCGCACTCGTAAACCGTTGCCCCATTCTTCCTTCCAGCGTTCTCGCCTTCGGCCTCCTTCGCGTCTTCCGTTTCCCTTTTCCTCCTCGCGATCCTCGCCGTCGTGTATCTTCCCAAGCGCGACGAACGTGCAATTCTACGGCCGCGTATCGCTCTGTCAACCACACCGACCGCGAACAATGCCACGAAAGCGAACGTGGCCGAATGCGATCGACCAATACGTCGTCGTCGTCGTCGTCGTCGTGGTCGTTGATACTTGCGGGACAAAGACCGATCGAGGAGAGTGGCAGAGACAGGGGGAGAGCTTCTTGACGCTTCGACCGTGTTACTCCGATGCGAATTTTCCCGTCATCCGCCGTGGCGAACTCGGCTGCTCTCTTCCATCCTCCGCGCGGTCGTGCACACTGCGATCGCGGAGAAGAGCGAAAATGGACGACCGTTCCTTTGTGAGTCGCAGCGGTTGAAGGGTCGTCGCGATCTCCACGGAATGGAAACTCGAAGATAAAAACGTTGGAGGAGCATCGCGGAAGCGTTTTCTAAACGTCCACGCGGATTCGGAGGGTTCGATTGTTCCCTTTAATCCGTTTCCTCCTCGCGATGCACACACAGCGGCTTCTTCTTCGACGTCCGTTCGACGACCCCGGGTTGTCTCGCTCTGCTAAACGTCGTTGTCCCGCCGTGTCAGTCTCCCGACTCGACGATCGACAAAAACGAATGGCAATAATTCAGCCGGCCCGCTGGTCTGACCAAATTCGGTCCGATCTACTCTCCGATTCCGCGTACAGTCACGTTCGACTTTTTCCGCTCGCGATCTGCTTACAGTTCCAAGAGTATCACGGGAGGATAAAAACGATTGGTTCGTTTTCGTAGCGCCACCAAAGTTTACCATCATACCGGAGAGGATAATCTACGTGAACTTGGGCGACGCGATAATATTGAACTGCCAAGCGGAAGGTACGCCGACGCCGGAGATCTACTGGTACAAGGACCAGGACGCGGTCGAGCCGTCGTCCACCACCGGAATATTCAACGACGGCACCGAGCTCCGGATCTCGTCGATCAAGACCGAGGACATCGGGGATTACACGTGCATCGCGCGCAACGGAGAGGGTACAATCAGTCACACGGCCCGTGTTATAATCGCTGGTGAGTAGATAGATCGTTTCGCATAGTCTCTCTTTGCATCTCGCCCGATATCGTCTTCCCGTTTGCAGCCATTTTCCTTCCACGGCCGCGCGAATCGACTGGTTCTCGGACCGAGAACATTTCGCCTCGTTCGTCTCGGAAACGCGATAATCGGCCAGACAATGCAGCGACAAACGCGACGCGCGCCAGTTCCCCGACCGGAACCGAGATTAACTCGTTGGAGAACCGTAACGACTGCGCGCGTCTGTTTCCCTTTTGAAACAACGCGCTCCGGTGTTGGTCGATCCTCGCCGACGTCGCACGGATTTCTTTCTTCCAGTCGGTACACCGTTTAACGCGGAAGCTTTAACCCCTTATTCCGAGATTTAAGATTCAACAGCGTGGTCCCAAAACGTAAACAGAACTGTCGAGCCTTTCCACGGCTAGGCAATTTTGTCTCGAGTTGTACCAATCGCACGCGACTTACGTGGGGCACGTCGACGAACGTCGTAGGAGTACTTTCGATTGGCGAATTTAGGGAATAACGTTCGTATATTCCAATGTATATTTATTACGAGCTAAACGAGACTTGGGAGTAAAGTAAAAACTAGAAGACTAGGCTGATAACTGAACTATGATCACGCAACCAACACTCGCACATCGATTCTTCCGCAAAATCCGTAAAGGACTGTCTTAGGACAGCCCTTGCACCGCTTAACTTGGGACATGCGGTTCTCGGGCCGCAACAGCGGGTGCATATATGTAGGATCGGGGTGGGTGGATGGGCTAACGTAACGTTGTCTTACTGCTTCTTAAAATACAATAAACTTATACTTATTGCCTACGAAACTAGAGACCCGTTACGAGTACGCTCGATTTTTACCGCTTAGACACTATGTTGAGGACCGTTATCCGTTTGAGTGCCACGCTATATGCAGCGCTCGTCTGCAAACCTTGCACTCTGTCTTCTTAAACACTCAGACGCCTTTCGCTCTTCGCTTGCATTCGATACAGTCATAAGTATCCCGTTCATTCGATCATTGCACGCGGTCAATTATTCTTCCACGTGCACTCTAGATGTCACTCTAAACATTCGGCCCGAAACCTAGGCTGCTGTTTATTGTTCATCATCAGCTAGGTAGGCCCAAGTTTCCACGTGCACTCTAGATGTCACTCTAAACATTCGGCCCGAAACCTAGGCTGCTGTTTATTGTCCATCATCAGCTAGGTAGGCCCAAGTGTTCTCTTGCATTCACTCTCAAACCCTAGCATTCCTACATGCGTTTGGCCCGGCCAACGTGCCACGAGCCAGGCCCGTGATAATCAATTTTGACCCGAGAAACCTGACCACTCGCGTCAAACGTGGTTGTAGGCGAAATTCATCGCGCTCGTGTGTTCGGTGACAGGAGAGGTTCTGTTCCAAAGAATCGAGTCGGGGAAGTTGCTTAACAATAACTACAGGCGACACTGTAGAGGGCAACAGATTCGTCTCGCGGTTTCCCGGTGAATTCGGCGAACTTTATAACCCCGGCGCGGGTGGATGGGGAAGAATTTCCCGCGTGCCAATAATTAATATACGCCGGATCGGTACGATAATTATCGGGGCGGCTTGTTATTAGAAGTTATCGGGGTATTTTCGGTAGGCGGTAATCGATCGAGCGCCGATAATGAAATTCCGATAACCGCGTTGCCAGAAAATGCCTCGGTGCAACCGGTACGGTTTTTGTCGCTGGATTGCCGCGGAACGCGTTCGCGATCGATGGCTCCGTCCATCGATCCATGGATCCACTCGCTCCGTCCGCGGAGACGCGGTAAAAGCTTCGAGGAACTTCCGCCGGATTCCAGTCGCCTTTTTATCCGCCATTTTATGGAACTTCTTAAAGTCTCGTCCCGGTGAATCGTCCCCGATGGAATCGCTGAAACGTTCTAGGTAACGGTGCAACTTTTACGCCGCTTTTAATCCCCGAACGCTCTTCGGGCCGGTCGTAAAATTGACCCGTCTCGCAATTTCGTCGGGTTCCCTCTTCCACGGTGCCACGTTTTAATTAACCGGAATTCTAGCCGACACCTCGAACGAGGACACCAGAGGACCGGTATCGTTTCTTCTTCGCGTTCAGAGACGAAAGAAACGCCCGTTGTCCTTCCGCGATTTTTAACTGCGCCATTCGATCCAACTCCCGTGGGAGGACAATAACGATTTGTCAGCGCGAGGCGTTTCACGGGTGTCTGAAATATCTCACTGGCCCCGTGCATCCATTACGTTTGCTGGCAGCTCGTAAACCGACGCGTTGCTCGGGTATCGAGACTGGTCGCGCGCGATAAAATTCGCGTTAAGGGCGTCGCTTCCGACCGTTGCTTGTAGTCGAAGCCAATTAGGATGTTCTTCGCGGCGGGACGAGTTAAAAGGCGATTTGTCTCGCGCGCCCCGTCCTCTCTTTTTCACCCTCCAGCCCTGCTCCCGTTTTCCAGAGGCACCGCAGATTTCTCGGCATCCTTACGGGGTCGCGGCAACATTCGTCTTCGTCATCGCCTCCATACCTTCCGCTCCCCGTGATTTTCCTCCCGTTAACGACCGGCCGATTTAATACCGACTGCATCTCCTTCGACACGCTTCGAGCGTTCCTTTTTTCCAACGCGGAGTTACCGCGAGTTTCGCCAACGCCGAGAGAGTTCTCGGATCGCTTGGGCGAAACTAGCCAAGAACGCTCTCGATCCACCACGAACGTCCGAAAAATCCGTTTCGGCCGCCTACGTGACGCACTCGACTTTCCGCGGAGATTCGTAGGAGCCGGGAAAAGTCCGTGGAAAGTTTCGGACTAATAAACCGTAGTAGCATCCTCGGCGGAGCCGGGCGCGCCACGGCTTGCAGTCACGAGCGAACGGTCGAGCAGTGGGTGCAAAGTAGACGGCTCTCATCCCTCCGCGTATAAAACACCGTCGACAGACTGCGCCATTAATGCGGAGGATCCTCGAGCTGCCGAGCCCAACCGAACTTGCTCCGCCCGTTCGCGTGAAACTTTTGAATCTGCTCTTTGAATATTTACCGAGCTCCCTACTCCGAAATTCATCCCCGTCGCGGCGACGTCCCTTTCCGTTCAAACGCGCCTTACCCTCGCCGACGGAGTCGCGCCGAAAACGCGAGTGCATTCGAGACGTCCGCCTTTCGCGATCTCGAGACGCGATTAAAGCCAGGTTTCCGCGTTTTTTCCGTCCCCGAGATCTCTCTCGCCCACCCTCTGCCCGAGTTTCTTCCCTTGATAGTCCTCGCCGGCGAATTCATTGCCCTCGCGGGGGAAAAGTTTGAAATCCCGCTTGTGAATATTTATCGAGCGGCTGCTCTTAAATTCATCGCGTTGTCATCCGCGATGGCAGGCACGCGCGTCCGGATTCCGCTGCGTTCGCGTCTCGTCGTTTGTCCGCTGTGCGCGTTTTCAGCGCGGCGGAATCCGCGGCACGACCGCGATTATGGTTGCCGGCGAAGCTGGGTGCCGATCCGACAGTGTCGTTTTAATTTTCGGCGCTTAAATTCCACGTCGCTTTGACGTCGCGTCCGGGTTCGAAGAGAAACAGCGGAAGGGGATGGAAGAAAACGTGGCGCTACTCGTACACCTTCGGCCGAGAAGGTGGCTGTTCCCACGGACGCGCGGCTGAGAGCTTAATTCCCGTCTAGCTGAGATAGATCGGATTGCAGAAAATACCGCCGAATCCCGGGAAGAAGTTTGCTCTTTTGTCGGACGGGATCGATCTGCTGCCATTATACGTGGAGATATTGGATCGCGCGACGAGGAACCAGCTAGCCCAGCCGCTCTCGAAAGCCGCAACTTTTCGAATTCTTCGAGTACGCTCGGATAGACCTCTTGGATATCGACGAGAATACAATGCATCCTGTTGATCCTTTTTCCCGAGGCTCGCAGGCAAAAGTCGTCGGAGTAAAAGGCAGACAGGCAGCGGCTCGAGTGTCGGAGGCGTATTGGCCCAGATACGGCCGCCTGTTTCCCTCCTGTTTTTCTTTTCCGCTCGAAACTCTTTCCAGCCGATTCCAGCTCTACATCCCCGATACGTCGGAGAATTTAGCGAAATGAAAAGTTTGTTAGTCGTCCGGCTGCTTTCGCCGGAACACCGTAGCCCAGTTTTCTATCGGGGCGCACGCTTCCGGGGGCGCACGGCTCTTCCTCTCGCGAAACGACGTTTCTGTAATAACAATCTCGTCCATTACAGACACGTCTATTCAACGGGCTCGCTAAATGGAGAATATCTATCTCTCTTTCCATTTATTTACTTATCGACGTCGTCCCGCAGGGCTGGTTCTCGCGCGGACCAACGACGCGAGCAACCGAACGATGAAATCTCGTTTCGCGACACGCTTCCGCCACCGGGCCAAGTTAAAAGCTTCTGCGACGGGCTCGTCGTTTCGGCCAGGATATTGGTTGGCCGGCGTATTTCCGGCATCAGCCAGACGGGACAACTGACGTTGACAAGCTGCCACGCGCGCTGCGGATCGGTGTCGTCCCTGACGCCCGATGTCCCTCTGTTGGCTATCTTTTATCTCCCTTTTCTATTTTATTCCACTTTATTTATTTATTTATTTATCCTTTTCTCCCATCGCGACAAACGAATTCGATCACCGGTGAAACGATTCGCCGACCACGTCGACGTTTCCAGGTCACATCTCGGGGCTAACGTTGTGTCCGTTTGCAATTTCACAGGAGGAGCAGTGATAACCGTGCCACCGACCAACCAGACCAAGCAGGAAGGCGAGAAGGTGCAATTTTTCTGCGAGGCTAAAGCTCTGCCCGACAACTTGACCGTGCGTTGGTTCCGCGAGGGTGCCCCGGTGACGGAAGTCTCGGCGCTGGACACGAGAGTGTCCATCAACCAGAACGGCACGCTGATAATCGACCCCGTGAGCGCGGACGACTCTGGCCAGTATCTCTGCGAGATAACGAACGGCATCGGAGAGCCGCAAAGCGCGAGCGCTTATCTGAACGTGGAATGTGAGTGCAAAGGGACGACGAACTCGCGTGCAACGAGTAAGCAGGTTTAACGTGTCTCGAGGCTAAATTCTCTCGCATTTCAGATTCAGCAAAGGTCACGTTCACCCCCACGGTGCAGTACCTGCCGTTTCGACTAGCCGGCGTGGTGCAGTGTCACATAAAAGCGAATCCAGCGGTCCAGTACGTGACCTGGACGAAGGACAAACGACTGCTAGAGCCTTATCAAACGAAGGATATCGTGATGATGAACAATGGCTCGCTGCTGTTCCCGCGGGTGAACGAGAATCACCAAGGCGGGTACACCTGCACGCCTTACAACGCGTACGGCACGCAGGGTAGTTCCGGCCTGATGGAAGTGTACGTGCGAAATCCGCCGGTGTTCATCGTGAAGCCGGAACCGGTCTATCAGAAGAAGGTCGGCGAGGTCGTGGAGATGCACTGCGTCGCCCAAGAGGCCGAGGACACGGAGAAACCGTCGATACAGTGGCACAGGGTATGGTACAGCCGCGTCCCCCCGTAGAGCAGTCTTCTCCACGGCGATCGAATATCGACGTGGGACGATACCACGAGCTTCGTTCGTTTTATCGGAAGGTCGTTGACGGACCGTCGTCGTACTTTCGCTAGGCACTTTCGATCCGAGGCGACTCTCGGTAGCGTTTCGATCGAAAGAAAAACGGAGAAAAAGAATGAAAAAAGAAAAAAAAAAAAAAAAAAAAAAAAAAAAAAAAAAAAAAAAAAAAAAAAAAAAAAAAAAAAGAAAAAACTATCGAGAGTCCTCGACCTGGTCGATTAACGAGCGGTGATTCCGATAGAGCGTTTCAATTTCGCGGCGTCTCCGGCTCGTTAGCCGTTTAACGCTCGGCTCGCGTTGCATCGTGATTTAATTGCGCAGAGAGACGGCGCGTCCATCCAACGCAGCCGGGCCAAGTTCGTCGGCGGCAATTTAACGATCGAAAGCCTGCAGCAGTCCGACTTTGGCTACTACGAGTGCGTCGCGTCCAACGAGGTGGCTACGATATCCGCCTCGACGCAGCTCATCGTCGAGGGCACGGAACCCCACGCGCCGCACAACGTTTCCGGCTCCGCCACCGAGTTCTCCGTCACCTTGACCTGGCTGCCGGGATACTCCGGAGGGCCTGACTACAAGCAAGATTACACTATCTGGTGAGTCCGCGTGCGCTGGGGACCTTCGATCGGATAGCCGTTGAAGGCTGCCAGGGCGTGCAAAGCGTCTCCCGTCTCGTCGGACATGTCTATCCCCGATGCTAACCTCGAGGGTAACGTAGCCGTGGATAGATTGGAAAGTGTACGTTGCCTCGAGAGCGTCATCGCGGATCGATAAGCGAGTTGGCACGGGTTCCGAATGTAAATCGTTTTCGTTCGACGAACAGGTACAGAGAATCGGGGACGTCCGAGTGGAAGATGATACCGGTAACTCCGTCTGGGAGCACAACGGTGACGATTAACAGCCTGACACCGAGTACGCTGTACGAGTTCAAAGTGATCGGGAAGAACGCCCTGGGCGATGGGATGCTGAGCAAACTCATTACCATCAGGACGCTCGGTAATAAGCTTGGAAGTTTGATGTATGTAACGCGCCGTGATACGTCTCGCGATTATTCCTCGGAATGACGTATCTCCGGGACGGAATTATTACGCGACTAACGCAGTCTTTGTCCGTTTTAACCGACTAACAAATGGCATCCTGTGCAAACTGTTTCCTTCTTTTCTCGATCGTGCTTAACCCTCGAAGACGTGGCACTGACGCACTCAGCGACTCCATCCTCGAGCGCCGGTCAAGTTGTAGCCACGGACGAAAGCGGTAAGATGGACGATCCAATCGTAACTATGTCTTATTTTCTCTCTCTCTCTCTCGATTTTTTTTCTTTACTTTTTTTTTGGCGAGAAGAGGCAGCGCCAAGCGCCGAAACAACTCGACGCTATTGCGGAAGCGGTAGCCCCGAATTCAAAGGGACGATCCTGTGTATTTGAACGCGATCGACCATAAAACCGTCCGATTCGAGGATCTCGCTCACTCTCTTTCCGTCTCTCGAAACGGACGAGCTCTTCGAAACGAGCTAACAAAGAATCCCGGTTGAACGATTTCGTAAAGATGCCTTGCGCGGAAGAAAGCTCCTCTTCCTCTTTCTCCCTCTCCGTCTCTCTCTCTCTCTCTCTCTCTCTCCTTCGCGACCGATCTTTACGAAGCTCGCTCTCGCTGGGAATACCGATTCTGCGCGCGAGAATTTCAAAGTTACGCTAAAGCTCGGCCCGCAAGGAGAAGCAAAGAGGAAAGGAAGGAAGACTTCCGTCGCGACTTATCGTATCGGAAAACCCATCGAGCCGTTCATTCTGTTTCCGCTTTTATTTCCTTCCCTCGAATCTGCCGGGTCATTGCCTTCCCATTTGTACACACACACGGTGCCTTGATTTTTCCTGCACGAGCTTGTACAGATTTTTATCCGGCTGCCCCGTTCCAAACCGAAGGACTTTCTCGATCTCTCCCCCGATCTCCTTCGGCCCCGTGCATCCGCTTCCACTATCGTAAACCTCCATCTCGTAAATCTTCGTTTCGTATGTACATACATCTGCACGGGATTCGTAATCCCGCGGGATCGTAAAACGTGACCCGGGTCGCTAGTTTTTCGCCGGCATTTCCATATTAATAACGTGTCGGGATCAGAAATTCCCGCTAATAACCCGGCAACCAGCCGCGAACAGCCGACGTTTCGCCGCCGAATTTCCTCCCGTACCCGGCGCTACACACGTCCAGCCCCCGTTGCCCCGCGACCTTTCTTTCCCCGCGCTTCAATTTCTGCCTTTTTCCGTCCCCCATCCGTCGCTGTCTACGCATCAGCGGTCTCGAAACTCGTTAGCCCGCCTCGAGTAACGCGATTACAGCCAGCTTAACGAGAATTCCGGTGGATCGGATTCGCGAGCATCTCCTGCGGTCCGGTTCTCCGCGACCCATTATTACGGCGCCACCCTCGACGGCCCACCCCGGATTTCTCACCTTTGCCGTTTTCTTTCCTCTCGTTTCAGACATCTTAGATCGTAATACTCTCGCGTTACCCAACGATTCCACCGGCAACGCAATGTTCCCGCGGATCTTGCGCCCGAAAGGTGTCAATTTTGTTTCCTTTATTTTAAGTAATCTCGCGGTTTCCGTTCTTGCATTCTCTCTTTCTTTCTCTCTCTCTCTCTCGCTGTACTCGTGTATTTTGTAGCACTCTCCGAGTCGTAACTCGATTAGAAATATCTTCGGTCATCATCGGTCGATTCCTTTTCCAGCGTCTTCCTGTCTAATTTTATTTCCCATCGATTATCCTTCTCGGCGCGCATTCAGGCCCTGTCTGCGTCCAAAAACTTCGAGAAACTGGGGTGGTTCGGGGCGCGCAGAGCGACGAGGCACGGGCCCCGCGCGGGCTTTTTCCCTCCGCTCGTTACGCGGATCGGCGACACGATTGGCGTGTAAAAAGTGGATAAAAAATGCGAGAGCGTTGCGAAAAACGCGTAATCTCGTTAACAGGGAAGCGCGGTCGGCGGTGTTGGTTTTTCACGCTCGACGATCGGTTTTTCTCGCTGCTCGTTCGCTTCGTTGTTCGCGTTCTCCGTAACTAGCCGATCGTCTTCGCGGAAACTTTTCGCGAGACCTTCCTGGAACCCGTGAATTTTTCCGTGTCCTCGGATCACGAGGAATTTTCGAGATTGCGTTATCGATTCGGGCCGAAGGCATTACCGATTGCGAGTTATCTCGGCGATAAGGGGGCGAGTGGAAGGAAGACGCGCGAGGACAAAGCTGAAAGGGGGAACGAGGAGCGTTGGACGCGTCGCGACGTCGATGGAGTGCGGCGGAACAAAAACGCGGGGCTCGACTTTGCGGGGAGAAATTTCCATTCGGCCGGCGCGAATTAATTGCAGCCACTCGTGGCCGTTACATTGGTAAAAAGCTTTTCGCGAATACAATAACCGCGTTCCAGTTATTCACGGTATTGCCGGGCGCCGCGGCGCCTCCATCGAGAACCCATTTATATTTTTGCGCCTGCACGCGGTTAAAGGGGCAGAGAGGCGAATGCAGGGCTCGCGGGTGTGCGTGCACGTGCGTGTACGCGCGTGCGGGCTTCCCCGGTTGCGCGTTTCCTAATGCACACGACGCGCCGGCTGTGTGGTCGACGATTTATTCGGCGCAGCGTGCACGGGCGCGGAAATGAAGTTAACAAATAGGGACATTGTAAATACCGCAGGAACGATCGCAGAAATATCGGTCGCTTCAGCCGGGTGTATTTTTCCATCGCGAAAATTTATCGTATTGTGCCGGGGTATTGTTTAACGTTCGCAAATAATCGGGAATATTGCCGTGGAATTTCATCGGCAACCGGAGAACAACGGCTTCTCGTCGCTCGATTATTGCCTCTATGCGTGCTTTTCTTCTCCACCCTCTCTCCCCCTCTGCCACCCCTCTCGTTCGCTTCTTTTTCTCTTCACTTTCTCCTTTTGCGCTCGTTTTTCTTTCACCTTTTATCCCTCTATTTCTCTCTTTCTTTTCCCCTTTTTCCTCTTTTCTTCCTTTTTTTTTATTTTCTCTCGTCTCTCGACTCTTCCCGATGAAACGAAACGATGGGAGACGAAGGTTGACGGAACGTAACGTTATCCCAGACGACGTCGATGTACACAGTATGTAACTTCTCGATGGAATCGGAGACGCGAGTGAGCTCATCTTCTTTCGTCGCTACTTACATACATAATGTTACGACCTAATTACTTCCGGCGTTCATTCGGTAGCCTTATTAGCGGCCGTAATCCCCATTCCGTGGTTGTTTCCCCTGTAACCGTAGAGTTACGCGTTGGAATGCGGACAGACGCCCGATGGAAGTCCTTGAGAAGGGAATTACGCATACGAAATGGTCGTCGAGTATGAGAACAACGGATATATCTCGCTTTATTCTTTCGTTAAGCGTTCCTCGCGTCGTCACTACTAATTCGATCTAAATCGTCAGGACCAAAGCCAGGTCCTCCCAAAAATCTCACGGTGACGGAGGTCAGTAACGGTTTCCTGATATCCTGGGAAGCCCCCGTGGAACGTAATCATCTCATTCAGTACTACACCATCAAATATAAGACGGACGGATCCTGGAAAACGCTCAACAAGGGACAGATCCGACCCGAGGAGACCAGCTATTTGGGTACGTTCTTCTTTCCATGTAATTCGCGCCTGTGCGTTCGGTCTACCTGAAAGTTCTGTCCGTTTCTGAAGTAAAAGAAAATAATACATTTGCGACACGTTTATTTTACTTGTGACCTCTTCGCAACGTGTCGATAATTTATGGATTCCATTTCTGTAAAAGGACTCGCTTTTGGGGGCGAAGAATTCCAGCAATGTTTGCTTCATTTTCCAACCTTTTTGCTTTTAGATAATTTCGGAGGGAAAGAAAGAGATTGTAATCGAGTGATGTTAAGTCTGGAAAGTATGACAAATCCGTAAAAATTTCCCAGTCTAGCTTTGCCAATTTCTAACGAGTCGTCACAAAGCAGCATGTGACTTGGCGTTGTCGTGGTGCAGTATGATTTGCTTCCTATCTATCAACGTATCTCTCTTTATCAAGTGGACATGAATGTGGTTTCGAATCATCCATTTATCGACGATACACTGTCGAATCGAGCTTTTCGTTGGGTTCCAGAAGCTGATAGTTTATTGGTCCTTTAACGTCGCACCATATGCACGGTATTCTGTAATCGAGGCTCAAGCTCGGTTTTCAGATGTAGAGACAGGTTGTCCGAGTCTACGTATCCTCTTTCTCTCATAATGTTCTCACACGAAATCAATTTTTCATCGCTGGTTGTCATCCTCCTGTCCAAAAGCGGCACGTTTCTGTTCTGAACAAGTGGAGGAGTCGTCGATGATGACTCGGTTGTGCAAATTTTTTGCATAACTCGTGAGGCATCCATTTGGAATATTTACATACCGATCCAAGTTTTCGAACATGGTCCAAGTGGTCCCATAGTCATTGATGTCGACGGTCACAGGTATCCTCGATGTAACGATGGTGCTAGAAGGGGGACGAGAGGAAGAGAAAGGGACGGCGTTTCGTCCCCCAGGCCCGATAGTGGACTCATCAGTAAGGCTATCTCAGTAAGGCTACCTCGGGCAAGGGATACCATTGGAAGGTCTGGAAATCATATGTATAGGAAACTGAGGTTTTCCTGGGACTTGCGAGAAAGTGCTCAAAGTCGGAATGCATGGAGGATGAGAACGATGGTCGCTACACTGCAATCTTGGATGTCGTGAAAGAAGTATCTCGCTGTATGACCACATTCGTTCGTGCTAAAACTTCAGATGACATTATCGGGCAGAACTTTCCGTTAGACCTAATATATGACACATTATCCGACCACGCGGAAAAAGCTCGTTACGCCTCGTGGATTGACGAAAGATCGCTAAACGAAGAGATTGCACGTTCCTCTGTTTCACGGCGACCCGGCGAGTACAGTGAAGAATCTGGTCGGTGGCAGGACCTATTATTTCCAAGTGTTCGCCAACTCGGCGACCAACTACGGTGCCAGCGAGCAGGTGAAGTTTCCGGTGCCGGCTCGGGTGAAGCACAAGGCCATCACCGCGGGCGTCGTCGGTGGTATACTCTTCTTCATTGTCGCGATCATCCTCAGCATATGCGCGGTGAAGATTTGCAATAAGCGGAAAAGACGAAAACAGGAGAAAGGTAGGGCTGCGTCGCTGGGAGACGCGTCAGTCGGTTCGAGTCGACTCGATCCCTTCGAGTCTGGCCTGCACCTGGGCTCTCGGTCGTCGTCTCGTCCTCTGTTTCCGCGAATCCGCTTTTCCCGTTACGCGGAATTCGGATTCGCCGAAATTCGACGAGACGGGCCTGGTAACGCAGGAGCTGGGCGAGCACCTGTGAACCTGAACGCTTACACGTTTAACATAATCTTGTAACATTGTAGAACTGCTTTCAGCGTATAGTATGGTGGCCTGCCGGGTCACCGACGCCAGGAACGGCGCAGGGCAGGGGCCCCAGGGAACAGTGCCTTTGAAAAAGTGAGTGTCTATCTCCGAATGTTCCATCTTCCCCACAGGTTCCCATTTTTATCTAAGATTTCACGAAACTCCCGATGGGAATTTATCGAGGATTAATAACGAATCGAGGACGTAGACCGAAGAGATCGCAGCTGCACCGGGGTGAGAGGGAGGGGGGCCGGAGGCTTCCGTTTCGCGCGAGAATTCGATCATCGCCGGGATTAAAATTGGGAACGCGAGTGGGTGCAGCTGCGACCTCGAGGAGAAATACATCGATCACTTAGGTTTAGCCAGAGCTAGCAATTAAGTCCACTCCACCCCCTCTTACGAGCATTAGGCGACCGAAGCACCGCAAGCATTTAAGAAACCTCTCACGAGTAATCAATAGCTAACAAAATATTCGATCTATATACCCGATATTACGCATATACATTTATATTATCATACGCGTGCATATAATTCGCGTATACGTCCGTACGTATATCGAGAGGATACATTAACGCGACAGAGACCTCGTTCCTGCGATAACCTTGCTTACGTTCGAAATTCACGCTTCGAGGCAAATAACGCGTAATCGAAAGCGTGAACGATCGTCTCGGTACAGCGCGGATCCGCGATAACGGGAATAAACGCAGGCAAACGGTTATTGCACGAACGATACGCTCTCTAATAAACGTATCTCCGACTAATGAGTCGTAAGCGAAGAGAGAGACGCGAGAGAGAATCTTCTTATTCTCTCCTTCCGACGTCTCGATCCAGTTTCACGAAAACAGCGGTCACATCGGCGGTATTGTCGGGGAGTAATAAAAAGGAGTATCTAGAAATAAAGAAAGAAAGAAATGGAACGAGACAAACGAACCGAAGCAAACGTATGATACGGGGATGGAAAGTAATGACGAGAATAGAACGAATGGAAACCCTCTTTTGATCTTGCGCCATACACGAGACAGCACGTACATTGACGCGTGGCGTAGCGATGAGAAACCGGCAGACTAAACCGCAGCAGCAGAGGTATTTTGGACGAGGTTGGAGAACGATCGGTTTCGACCACCGGTCACATGCAAACCCGCGAGCGTCTTCACGCGTGCACCGCGGTGTTCGAGCGAACGATCGCGAGCGATACTTTGGCGTCCGAGCCGGTCCACGGGTCCGAATAGTTCCCGGTCACGGTTTTCCAGCCAAATACCTGGGGTTCGCCGAGCTATTCGACTCGCTATTCGACTCGCTATTCGACTCGGATAGTTGGCCCGACCCCGGCGAAATTCTCTCTCCCTTGTTACGGTATAATTTAATTCTCGAGGAGCGGGTGGGAGAGAGGGAGGGACACGAGGATAAAAAGCCAAACCGAGTTTCCTTCTTCTCCACCGCCGATCGATACGCACACCTCGGTGAATCCAATTGTCCCGTACGAAAGGCTGGCCAACTTGCTCCACCCAACTTCTTCCTTTTTCCACCCCCGTATCCTCGTGTCTCGGGACACGTAGCGTTCCTGGCTCGTGTTTGTTCTCTCGTGGCCGTGCCACGAAAGAGGAATAGGAATGGATCGGGGATCGGCTCGGACGCGCTTCGCTCGAGCTTGCACGCTCCTCTCTTCCGTCGCGTCAGCGTGCAGCTTCCGTTCTGTCGCACGAGCTTGACAGAGAAAAGCAAAACAGAGAGAAAACGGATCGTTCGACGAACGATACCAGAGAGAATGATTCTCCTTCTCCCTACTGCTTCTTCTTCTTTTTCTTCTTCTTCTTCTTCTTCTTCTTCTTCTTCTTCTTCTTCTTCTCCCTCTTCTCGAGAAAAAGATCGCACGCGAAACGCGCGATCGCGAGAAAGAGGAGCACGCTCGCCGACGTCATCGCATATCCCGACGAACCGTACGTACGTATGAAAAGATCGGCCTCGATAACCGACGATAAGGTGTTCAGCTTTGAAATCACGCCAAGCGGACTGCACGTGTAGTAGCGGGTACTCAGCCGACTATTATGATTTCCATCGTGGCATCCAAAAGTCCACAATACGACTGCAGTGATGCCTATTCTGGATCGTATGTCGCCTTTGTTTCCCGCGACGAGCCATTTCGTTTGTTGTTCCGCGCCCGTTTCTTTTTTCTTTTCCCTTTTCCTCCCCCTTTTCTTCCAACCCCCGCAACCCGACCACCCCTTCCGGTCTTCCCCCCGTCTCTCCCAGTCTTTCGTTCGTTCACCCTCCGCTGACTGTTGCAAAGTTTTGCGGAAGATTCGCGCACCTTCGTTCCCTTCATCTTCATTCGCGCCACTTTCCACCCCTCGTCCCACCCCATACGTTCATGGCTTATTTTACCAATCTTTTTTTACGAATCGCTCACACGACCGATCATTCCTTTCGAGCATATCGCGGGCTTATCGCGGAGGCATCTATCATCGCCACGCCCCTTCTCGGCTCGAGAGAGCTCGGGTTCGGCTCGGGGCAGCTGGAAAAACCGATCCGAGGATCTCGCGATGTTCCGATCGATCGCCGATAACGTCGCGCGCGACGCGGAAGGTGCGTCGATCTCGCGATAAATTCTTCCATCGAAGTATCGAAGCTCGCGTATCGATGTAATTAATGCTCGTTCGGTATTTGCACGGACGATATTAAATCCGCGTAACGCGACGAATTTGAAAAACGATCTCGATCGCATCGGCCTCGGATAAATCTCGGCAACGGTATTAACGTTAATTCGACCGATCGACGTGATCCGACGCGATAAAATATCGCGAAAGTATCCGCGATTACTCTTCTCGCGAGCAAATTCACGGCCGTTATCTCCGCTTCGCCGGTCACGCCCGTTCCATCGAACGGAACGCTCGATCGTGTCCGAGGAGGGGTAAGGAAACGCGGAACGTCCACACGAGGATCGTCGAATATTTCCGCATCGATCTTTCCCTTCGTTCCACGCGATAAGCCCCTTGTTTCTCGATTTACGCGAACGCGCGACCGCGACCAAGACTCCCTCGAGCAAACGGGAGCGTATCTCGCGCGCTCCTCCCGCGAGTTGTCGCGAAGCGGGCAGATAATGCACGTTTGTACCTACACGTATATCCAGAACGGGCTGGACGGTTCAGCCACTGCCAAGATTATCGCTTCCGGCTCCGGATTCGTAGATCGCGAAGCGTGTACGCTCACGGTGGTACTTGGCGAACACGATCGGTGGCCGAGGGGGGTTGGACGAATTTGGGGGTAAGATAAGTGAAGCGCGCGCGAAATACGAATACGGAGCCGACGGGACGAACGGTAGACGATCGACGTTCGAGAATCGCGATCGGAGCAAGGATCAGAAGAGAGCCAACGCGAGTTTGAGAGAATTTTGCGGGAGATGGAGAGGCTTCCGGGAGAGAAAGAGGTCGTTGGGGAGAAACAGGACGGGGTAGACGCGTGGACGATTAAGTACGTATTTAACTTTGGATAACAGAGACACCCTCGAGGAGCTTGAAATTATTCGCCTTCTTTTCTCTCTCTCTCTCTCTCTCTCTCTCTCTTTCTCTTTCTCTCTCTCTCTTTCTCTGTCTGTCTATCCTATCGTTCCTCGCACGAACGGGAATCGCGATAGGACGAGAGGAATACGACGAGGAAACGCGGCTAGAAAGGCAAAGGATGAACGCGCGAAAGAAAGAAAGAAAGAAAGGAATAAAGAAAGCTAACGCGAAAGAAAGAAAGAAAGAAAGACAGGAAAAGAATATGAAGAAGAGCTATACGAATGAAAACGTGGGCGTCTCTTGTCCTCCTCTCTCTCTGTGTTTTCTGTAGGTCGACAAATCTAAACGCGTGCGGCGAGTCAGTCTCGACGCTGACCCGTTGCAGCCCGTTGAATCCGCAACTACCACCACCACCACCACAACCTCTTCATCAACTACCACTTCCTACGCAAGTAACCACCCCCGCCACTGCCACCTCGGAGCCGGTCCACGAGCAGGCCCCCCCGAACCGTGATCGTGACCATCACGCACTCCACCTCGATAATCGAGATTACGAGAGCGTGTTTATCATAGAGAGGCGGAACAGTAAGCCTAACCTCCGCTAGCCACACTGAAAATAAACCAAGTACTACCACTGCTACTACTAATACTGCTACTACTACTACTACTACTACTACTACTACCACTATTACCGCTACTACCATCACTCTACTACTACTACGTACCCGAGACAACGGTTGCTCCCGAGACCACGAAAAATAAGAACTCGCCGACGGTATACATGTATGTGTTTGTGTGTGTCTGAATACACCTAATTGCCAAACGATCTGTCGATCGGTCAAACGATCCGATCGATACTCGTGGTTCGTCGTTGATCGATCGAGCGAGCAAACGCCACTTGCCGCTGGGACTTGTCCGTTACCAGTACTATCACTACTACTGCTACTACTATTACTACTACAACCCACCTACTGTACTACCACCGCTACTACTACTACCGCTACTACTACCGCTACTAGCATTACTACTACTACCTACTATGCGAGACTACAGCTCTGCAATGTTACCTGCTAGGACCTACTAATCTACCACTACTACCATCTACTACTATCTACTTAGGATGATTGTCATGACTGTAGATGAGATCAGCAATACAGGCAATACAGCTAGGAGTCACACTAGTAACATCCAGTCAGTACCCTAAATACCTTCGTTCGGCGGACTTAGGGAGTACATAGATACGAGACGAGGCAAGACGGTAGACATTTGCTAGTCGAGAACGATTCCTTCGATTCTCGATAATCGCTTCGAGGCAACGCGTTGCTTCTTTTACGCGGTTGCTCGTGGTTGGCATACGTGGCTATAGTTCGTGCCAAATCGCGGATCGAAATTCTCTCCGTTTCTCGCAACGCGCTGTCAACGAGAGTCCATGCATTTATCGATGTTCGTTCTCGATCTCGCCTCGGCAGCAATCATCGTATTACCATAGATCAACTTGTTCGCTCATTTTTAATTTCCCTCTCTTTTACTCTTTTCTTTTTATTTTTTTTCTTTTTTTTCTCTTCTTTTCTCTATCTGCCACTCGCAACCATATCTTATACTCGTACTGTCGCTGTCATTTTTTTCTCACTCGGATACGTTCATTCGCTCCTTTTTTATCAGCCACTTTGCTCACTCGACTCACGATTACTCGCTTCTTCACTCGACATGTTCACTTGTTTCCATGTCCGTCGTCTCTCGTTGTGCCACTCTCGCTCAATCGATAGACGATAATTAAGTTACAAGCGAGTCGATGGTTTGACTGACCCGTTAACGAGCTAAACGGCGATCGCGATCAACGATCCCGTCACCTTCCGCGCGTTCGAATACCCTGGAAAAACCATCGAGGTCGCTTCCATTTCTTTGCTCGTGTATTCACACTTCATGGATCTTCGCGCATCGTTTCTGTATTCGTAGATGCACCGAACTCAGATAATTCTTATTAAAGATTCGATCGATAGCTTGCTTCATTTTTTAATAAAAAGCCTCGCGGACCGATTCTGGCCGGCGCCGTTCAACCCCCCGGTGATGACACCCTATGGGCTGTCAATGGATCGTGGATCGCGCGTCGATCGCTGTGACGACGCGTCGTGAACTCGCCAGGATCGGCTCGCGTCGTTCACACTCTCTCTCTCTCTCTCTCTCTCTCTCTCTCTCTCTCTCTCTCACCTTTCACCCCCTTCTCTTTCTTCTCTTCACCTTATACGATCTCGATCACACGAAATTGCTCGAGCGTAACGGGAACCCCCTGGCCGGGGTCGGCCCGTTCGCTTCCTTCGAAACCTTTCTTCTCACTCACGTAGCATGTCACGCTTCACCGAGCATGACGACGAGAAAATGCAAGAGAAAAGTGCGGAAAAGAAAAAGAGACGAAAGAAATGCAATCGTAACCGCTGCGATAGCGATCAGGGTGTTTTCCATCGATCGAGACATTTTCACCCAAACATTCTTGTATTCTTTTTGCTGTTTCCAGTCTATCGATTTTAGACGAGCCGTAAAAAGACGCGTTCACACTCGAACACACGGACATAAGCAATGAAACATAGGTAAGCCGCTCTCACTGCGGCTCTACCCTCAACTGCATCCCAGACACGATTTTTCATTGTGTTATATTTCATTGTTGATCGTTCTTACACGACTAATCGTCGTTCTGCGAATCTTTTGCTCTCCCTGCCCTACTACGATCGATAAAACATTCTTGTCTGAATATGCTTAAGCTCCCTCCTCCCTTTACTATCGACCCGTGTTTGTACGTACACGCGTATATACGTATACGCGTTTATGTATACCTGTATCGTTGCACAATGATCCGTTGTCCGTTCTCTTTACTTCGTTTCTCCGTGTTCGCCCGAGTTCCCACTTTCTTTCGGTTCTCTTCTTTTTCACGCGCGCGTGTGCGCGTGCGCGACCGTGCGTTTGCCCATTTGCCGCGCGATTTGAAATTTTCTTTCACCCTCTTCGTGTCCGTTCCGTTGCGAACGCGCGTCGAATGGCGAAGAGGCTTCCGGACGATGCCGCGACCCCGACGAGGAACACGCGTTATCTATTTGCTCCCTAATATCACCGCCTAGAAGTAACGTTCGATTATTTAGCGTTATATTTCTTATCATTATCGCCACGATATTGTTTTTTGTGAATGTAATCGTTGTGTTACAACATTCTCTCTCTCCCCCATCTTTCCTTGCTGCCGGACCCGAAGGAGGAGAAAAGGTGACGAGTTTCGGAGCACCTAAATCCACGATTGCTATCACTGATAAAAAAAAATAAAAAAAAAAAAAGAAAAAAATTTGGGCAAAGAGATAAAAAAAAAAAAAAAAAAAAAAAAAAAAAAAAAAAAAAAAAAAGAAAGAAAGAAAGATCCACTCACTGGCAACGCCCACCCGCCCACGATTCCACGTCACGCCCGACCACTCGTGCACCGGAATGCGCATGCGCATGCCTTCCCTGCCTGCATCCGTTATTCGTTATTATACGTACACGTAATTAATTCTTAATAATTATCTTGTACGTTTAACTTGTACGTCTGCCTTTTCGTTGTTTTGTTTTCCTAGCTCCTTCTCTCCTTTTTGTTCGTCTTAACGTTGCGTGTTTTTTTACGTCGTTGTTGCACGTTTATCGCTGTGTACGGCGATCGGTTAACATCGTCGAAGGAAGGTCTACCGATTTTCGTATTGCCCCATCTTTTCTTTCTCTTTTCTTTTCTCCATTTCAAAAGTACCGACGCGCGGAGCCGCCGCTCGTCCTCCTTGCTTCTCATCGCGACAGCAGAACCGAGACGAATCTGTTCGCATCGATAACGGTGCCAGTGTTTATACTCGAGGAGCAACGCGTGAAAGAGCTCGTTTCTGGAACTCGTTTCGAGTTCGACACCTGTCGAGAGAGAAGGAAAGACGAGGCACGCGGCGCAACGAGCGATTCCTTCGACGGAGTTGATCGCGTCGCCGCCGCCGCCAATGGCCGCCATTGCGAATTCTCTAACTCTCGTTCTGTCCTACCCGTAGACCTAGAAAAAGCCGAGTACCAGGTCTAAATCTCCTGCGGGAGATTCTGAACCCGGATACGCCGGACTCGTGCCGCGGCCGACCGTTGGGTAAGATCTCACGCGCGGCCGATGGCCGGTTCGTGGTGGCGGATTCGGTGCTCAGCTCGGCGAACAACAGCATCCTGGACGCGTCGAGCAGCGACGACGGTGGGTTCCTGCCGAAGCAACGGCTGAAATCCTCTTGGCGGAGACCGCTGGTCGGCACCAGCCAGCTCAGCCTCAGGTCCGACGGTAGCGGCGTCTCTATCGGAGGGCTACCGTCCATCCATCATCACGGAACGGTGAACTCGTTGGCCAGGATAGCGCCGACCATCTGCACCATCTCGTCGCCCAGGTTCCTGGCCAGTTCGCCGAGCGGGCCTCAAGTACCCTGGACGCCTTTGTACTTCAGCGATCTCAGTTCGGTCAGGCAACCGTCCTCCGGAGAACGTTCCTTTCCGACACCGCCCGATTACCTGCAGCTTCGCAGCGTGCATCAGCGATACAGCCAGGAGCTTCCATCGTTGAAGGCGATACACGCCGAGTCGAGGAGGTTCGTGCCGGTTCAACCGTTGGCCACGTCCTCGCCGCCTCAGTCGGCCGGCAGGCCGAGAGCCAGGCTACCTCCGAGGCACGCGAGGCACGCGAGATCAGCCCCGGAGCTGGCCGCGTCTCCGGACCTGGAGACCTCGCCGGAGAGTAGGTCCAGCAGTTCGGGATTCGGCAGCAAGAACACCTCGCAACAGAATCAGAGCTCGAGGAGCGGTAGTACAGTGGCCGAGTGGAGGCCACCGCCTTACAGGCCGCCACCGCCGCCTCTGGTTGGCCGGTGGTTGGAGCTTCAGGATCAAGCAAAGGTCGGGCACACGCACATCCAGAACGCCGTGGACGCGGGCAGCGTCGACGGACATTACGAGTTCGATCCTGTCTCTTGCACGCCGACCCCTACATCCGCTTCCACTCCGACCAGGGAGGAGAGGCCACCGGTGCACCAGATTCACGCCATTCACGTGCCACACATTCACCAGGTGCACACGGTTCATCATCAAGCACCGAGGTACAGCAGGGACAACATCGAGGCCAGAGTGCAAGCGATGAAGGCCGAGTTCCATCAGTTCCGGCAGCGGCAAGCGAGGAGAAGGCAGAGCGCGCATCTCGAGAGTGCCTGTTGACGAATACGACACTGTTCGCTAGTACCGTGAGCTGCATCATTGGATTTCCATAACGTAGTTCGATCATCGGACATCTGCTCCGATTCGTCGCTTCTCTCCGCCTCTCTCGCGATCTCGGCGAGGGCACCGAGATTGGCGAGCGGAAGTGGACGCGCTTCGCGGAAACGGACCAAGACTAGAGTTAGCCGAGATTATCTGGACGTTGCGGAGAGGATGGAAAGGACGAGGACGAGGACGAGGACGAGGACGAGGAGGAGGAAGACGAAAGTGGGCGAAGGCTGTCGGAGAGAGCGCGGAGAAGCGGACGAAACCCAGCGCGAGTCCCGGCTGTGACGAAAGCTACGCGATAGGCGATTCGAAGCGGACGTCGCCGCGATTATCATCGGAGACCAACTCTGTTAAAAAGCACAACGAGGATATCATCGTACGCGGTATTCCGGTGTAGGCAACTTCAAGTCAATTCTATCAGCTGGGCAACCGTCTCTACGCGAAAGAAAAGGCTGTTACAAGCGTCAGCTCAGGATACATAAATTTCGCCAACGCGAGCGACTAACGTGGTGGAACTATGCGTTAAGAAGTCATCGTCGGAGTCCGATCGTTGTTGCTGATTCGAGGAGAAACGCGAATCACGAAACGAGTTCTTCCCCCTAGGGCCCTGCCTCCTCCGCGTCGGAACGAGGAGGACCACGACGAGGAGGATCGACGAGCGGGTTCCGGAGGACGCAGCGACGGAAGACGGAAGACGAAGGACGGTTCGAGTTCGACGATCATTATTGGTCATATCCCGCGTGTACCAACGACGCCTACGTCCAATTCGGAGGACCGCGATTTTTAGCGTTACTAATATATTATCGAGTAGAGAGAGAGAGAGAGAGAGAGTGAGAGTGTGAGAGAGAGGGAGAGAAAGTGAGGGAACGAGACGCGTAAGAGTTTCCGAGCGAACCGAGGAAACGCGAGGAAGAGGAGGTGGTTCGGCCGAGAACGCAGCTCGGTGGAACTGGCTTCCTTCGATGCGGCAACTAAATATTCCCGACCGACCGGATCAGCACGTGAAACTGATCGGCACGTGACCCCCGCCCCCCCCCCCCCCCCCCCCCGTGCCCGGAGGTTTTCGCAGAGGGATGATCGATGATAGGACGAGACAAAACGTCGGCATGATACTCCAAAGAAACTGTACCGTGCTCCGTATACCTTTTAAAAAGAACGACACGTAAGATTAACCTTAATCGTACACTGTAAGTAAACTAATTAAAGAAAAAGGAAAAAAAGGAAGAAAAAAAAAAAATATGAAAGCGACCGCGATGCAAGAAAAAAACGTAAAAAAAAAGAAAAAAAAGTTAATACAGAAAAAGTAAGAGGTAACACACACGAGTAAGATAATCGAAGAATTACCACACACACACACACACACGCATGTATACATACATACACACACGAGAAACTAAGAGGAAAAAAAAAGGAAAAAAAAAAAAAATATTAAAAAACGTTAATTATATCGATGAGCAATGGACTCGAAACGTGATATTAGGCCGAAGCTTGCCTGGAGATTGCTTAAGGACTCACTCGTACTGCACTGCCTGTTTAGGGTTTCGCTAGCGACCCAACATATTATCGGCACAATAATTTTTCTTAAGCAACGTAAACGATGAAAAATAAGTAAACGTTCTTCGAATCTACGCGCGGCCACGCGGCCACGCGGCGCATGCGCGCACGCGCGTGCACGCCTTCCGCGATAGCGAGAACCGCTCCAAGCCGCCTTTTGGCCCCCTCGTCGCCGTCGCGTCGACCCCCTTTCGCACGGGTGCTGCACACCCCTCTCGACGCGGGCTTTTGCCAACGCGGAAGCTTCTCCGTACACGAACTGCCAGCGAACGACGCGAGTCCAGGGGACCATCACCACACCACGACTCTAATACTACTCTTCCCCGACTCTGTCCGTTCGTTCCCACGGAAAAGCGTTCGCGGCAACGGCCGCTGTGACTGACGTACGCGCGGAAAATCGTGCACTCGCGTGCAAGCCGCGCCGCTCCGCGCCGTGGTCCGTGCGCTGGACAGAGAAGAATCACACGCGCGTACACTCGTATCGACGCTACGCGACACCGACACGCGCGCTACACCCTACACGTACACTCACGCGCGTCGCGCACTACTACACACGACACACACGCGTAGACGAAGCGAGAGAGAGAGAGAGAGAGAGAGTGAGCGAGTGATTGAGAGAAAGGACGAGCGCGAGCGAGAGCGAAAGCGTTGTACGAATGACGATTACAGACACGCGACACACGCGCATACACGAAAGGCGTTCTTCGAGACCCACCTAATTCTCACCAAACGCATTGTATTAAATCATCTCGAGTCGAGGACGAAGCTCGTGGACGGCCCATAGAGTGTTCGAGGATGCAAATACGGGCTAACTTGGATTCGAGTAGAACGCGACCTAAACGAACGAGGAGGATCGCTACGCGTGACGTATTCTCCCGCGAAACGTTACGCTTGGATTTAACCGGAAGCCGCTTCCAACTTTCCGTTTCCTTTTCTTCTTCTTCTTCTTCTTCGCCTCCTTTTTCCTGCATCTGTCTCTTCGTTTCTTTCCCCCTCGATTTTACTCTTGGCTCACTCGGGAATCTCTGGTTCCCCGTTTAATTAACCAGCGTCCGACGCGCGCGCACACACGGAGCAAAGCCGCAGCTGCGACTGCGAAGCCATCGAATACTCTCGGGCCGCGGCGCCGCGCGATTTCCCCTCGACGACGTCTCAGCGTTTTACTTTTTTTATAGTACAAAACACTTATTTATACGTACGTATTATACATACTTATATTATATAAATATATTAGCAAGGGCCCTACTCACGATTCAACTATACTTGGACGGAAAGCCGACGAGTGCGAGCGACGACGCGCGGACGCGCGCCGTCTCCAGGCGGGACGCTCTGTATAATTTTCGCTAAGATTGTGGCCGAATGCGTGTGGCGCTGGATGACTGCCGTGTCGCGCGGACGGGGATCGCGATTGCGAAGAAGAGCAACAGAGTGCCTGCTCGTGTGCGTGGACGTGCGCCAAAGAGAGAGAGAGAGAGAGAGAGAGAGAGAGCGAGGAGAGAATGTATGCGCGTGTGAGTGAGCGAGAAAAATCGCGACACGCGTGTAAAACGATGAAATCGTGCCGCTGTTGCGTGTGCCTGCGAGAAAGAGAGAGCGCGTATGAGCGTGTGCCTGTGTGAGAGAGAGAGAGAGAGAGAAGAAAGGGTGCGGAGTAAACGAAGAAGAGAGGTGTAGAAGATGGAAAGAGAGAACGGAGGTGACGCGAAAGAGTACCAATATTCTAAAGTAATTCTAATGATTGAATTAATAATTTGATAATTAATTGATATTGTACATCGTAAACGACGTAGCGTGTAGCGTATTAATCAACGAGAACGACGAACGCGACGATTGATTCGTTAAATTAATTACTATTACCCGGGATCGAGGCGAGAGCGAGTGATGAACGCGAGGGGCACGCGTGATCGGCCGATTTTCGATCCATCGTTGCTGTTGTATCATAATGAAAAAATAGAATATCGAAGATCGGAGCCCGCGATCACCCGATCACAGGAAAATTCCCGATGATCCACGCGGTGTCGCAAGCTCGAGCGTGGCCGGCCGAGCGATCGATCGGTGTGACCTTTTTGTACGTCGAACCGGCCGTGATCGATTCCAGCGATCTATCGTTCGTTCGGCGCGGCGACGAGTCCGAGACGTGGCGCGTGGAAAGCGGAGAGGAAAAGGGGATCGGTCGGGGAACGTGGATCGATCGCCTCCGTGGATCGACGTTTCCACCGGTCTTCCGTCGCGCGTCGCCCTTCGCCCACGATGTGACGGTCGAACGAGGAGTGAAAACCGTGCGAGAGAGGAGAGGAGAAACCAACCAATCGATATAGGCATATAAGTAACGTGTAGATATATCATAGTTAGATACAACGATCTCAAGAAGACGCGCAGAGTGTCGACGATCCCGATTCTCAATCGGAAAGACGAGAGACCGAGATGGAGCATCTTCGATGATCGTAGATGCCGTGGCTAAAATTTCAGCGTAATCGCGCGGCACGTATTGCCACGTATGTCGTCTATGGAGTCTGAAATTTAGCAAGGAATATATATAAATATAAATATATATATATATATATAAACGTGTGTATGTATACAGAGATCGAGAGGAAAAAATACGATATAGATCGGGAGAGAGAGAGAGAGAGAGAGAGAGAGAGAGAGAGAGAGATGTTTAATGGTTTCGCGCGTAATGGATCACGCGTTAAGCGAATAATATGGTTGAATCGTGAATTCGTTCGTATAACGTTCGACATCAGCATTCATTATCGATAACTTCGTTTTGCGTCTGTCCTTTTCGTTCCTGGATAAACCTTCTGTCATTTCCTTCTTCTTCTTCTTCTTCGTCATTGTCATCTTTCTATCTTTGTATCTTCTACTTTTCTACTTCTCGCAACTATTTCCATTTCTTCTTCTTCTTCTTCTTCTTCTACTATTGCTGTTTCTTCTTCTTCTTCTTCTTCTTCTTCTTCGTCTACCTCGAGTCATCGTCATGGCTTTCTTTCCGTTCGCGATTTACCTTAGTCGCGTTATTTATTTAGAGTTCGAGCGAGTATGAACTTACCGCCGCACGTGGAAGAAATTAATTTAGGTATTCGCTCTTTACGTACCTGAAAGCCATCTGGCATAGCATATTTTTCAGAGTCGCGAGTGAAATTCTCATCCCTCGGAGCAGAACGTTCGCGAATCCAGCGCGCGGCTGCTAAGGCGAATCTACCTATTTGCGATCGAGTCTAGAGATCGCGCGAGAGAGTGGATCGATCGATCGGTTAGCCATTACGTTCCAAACGAAACGCGTATATTTACTTCCGTACTACGTAATACGTTTTCTCTGGTTGCGATAACGTGAACTCGCGAAAAATGCCGCGCGATAAATCGGGCCGCGGAGACGCGCGCGAAAACGGCCGGCTGTATAATAAAATGGCGGAAGGGAACTGGAGATCTCTTCGATCGCGTGATACGTTTACAGCGTCAGCCTCGCGCTAACTACAATGGCTCTCGGGTACAATGTTTTTCACCGGTGCTGCGATCTTCTCATTTTCACCGCATTCCGCATTCTTTCCAACCATACACGCGTGTTTTCTTTCGATCATACGATACGATACGATACGAGAATCGCAACCCGGGCCGCGAATGAGATTCAACGATCGGAACAGGGAAAGGGAGACAGGGAAAATAGAGAGAGAAAGAGAGAGAGAGAGAGAGAGCAGGAGAGGACGCGAAAGAGAACGCGTTCTGGCACCGGCAATGGACGATTATTTTTTTTCAAGAACCAATCGGATCGTCGCAGTTGCAGGTATTTACGAGTTTTCGAAAGTCCATCGGCATCGAGTAGTACACCGATTAATTTCCAGATAATTTCTATCGTGCATCCGTTCCGTTCACGAAAAGCCACCCTTTGCTTTCCGTTCGTGCCAGCATTCTCTCCGTTCAATCGCCGGACATGCATTCGCGCGCGCGTGCATCGGATATAATCTTCTTACCGTGACCGTTCTTCTGTATCGTCTGTCCTCGCTACTTTCGCTTATCACGTATCGTCGGTTTTCTTGCTGCACGCGCGACACCCAAGCAACGAGCAACCAAACGAGAGATCGAAGAAAAGAAAGGGAAAATAGAGAGAGAAACGAACGAGAGGCGCGTTTTCGTTAGTCACCTTCGCGAGTGCTCGCTATTCACCTCCATTTCTCACCGTTTTATTCATTGACCTATGCTTTCTCGCGAACCTATCCCCCACACGAGAACTCCAAGACGTACTAACCTAGGACAAATTGTAGACAATTTATTATCAAATAAAAGTGAAAAATAAAGCGACATTTGAAAGGAAAACTGGAGAGAGTCTGTGTTGTGGGATATATGCGCAATATATCTCTGCGTTCACTCCAATCCCCTCTAGAAAAGTATACGCGACGAAACCGCGAGCGCGCCGATTCGATCGCAGCTACGAACGCGTAACCTACAAAGATAATTGCGTGTATACGAAACTATATACGCCACTCGTCTCGACCAGGCTCTCACGAGCCATAGTTCGATTTACGATACGCGAGAGTTCGTAAAAATCGGCACGAGGCGCGGATCTCAGCGTCCACCTCGTACCAAAATTCGCAATAAAACGCACTAAATACACGTTGTCCGGCTTGAGAAAAGAGAAGAGAAAAAGAAAAGACGGAAAACTATACCTATACCGATAGCGTATAATATATTATATTCTCGTGCGTCGATATAATATATTACCCTAGTATCCTATACGACGTAATATATAAATACACGTATATAGCATAGTTTATAACGTTCAAATTTAATAAATACAAACGTTATTTTAGAAATCTGCCTGTCGTGAGACTTTCATTGCACGAATACCGGCGGATCGTCGTGCGAAGTAGCGGTTCGTCACGGAACCGAGAGATCAGATGGCCGGTTTCTCTCGCACGATCGAAGGATTTCCAGGAGCTCGGCGAAACGGGATCGCTGGCCAAGGCAATAAGATCATTGCCAATTCGGCCTAACCAGGCCATCGTCTAATCGTTCGGCCGAGCGATGTTAGACGCGCGTTTTCGTGGGCTGCGAGAAGAAACGCGGAATCTCGGCCTTTCTGCGTAATTTACGCGGAGACCGCGTGCGGCGGCGACTCGCGGCTAAACGCGGGCAGAATTTGCGCAACGCGTCTACGGCACTGATTACCGGGAATTACCGCAATTTCCATGATTTCCCCCGATACGAGAGCGAAAAACTGGAGCGACGCTGCGGCGCGATAACATTCTTCCAGCGGCATTCCAGACGGACGCGTCTCCGTCGGCTAATTGCGCGTTCGCGTGGTTTCATCGGCGATGCATCGGCGGGAGGGAAAGAAAAAGAGAGAGGAGAGGAGAGGAGAGGAGCGGCTGTGTGAGGGAGTCGCGATGGAAACGATTTAACGAGCTAACCGAGACGGCCAGACACGGTGTACGTGCGGCAAGTCCCATTTTCGATTCGCGAGGATTCATTGGTCGCATGGCAGGTGGACCAGGAACAAGTCGTTCCCTTCTATGGCTCGTCGATGAAATAATACGGTCGGTATCATTATGCACGCATTTATTTCCAGTGTCCCGGGCACGTCCAATCCTGGATCGTGATCCATGCGAATGGATCCATTATCTCAACAGCGTGACAAGGCTGTGGGCAGTCTGCTAATGCGGCAAGGGACGGATGTGACGTAATCTGAGGTCACCCACGCAAATGGCGCGCGGCTGTGCCGGTGTGCAGTTTCGTCGTCGTCGTCGTCGTCGCATCGCTCCAATCGCCCGATCGAGATTCGATCCGGCCCATCCGTCACAGGAACAGCCTCGTTCCGGCCATTAGAGCTTTCTTCGTCTCCTTCTCCGTCGACCGAAATCGACCGACGATTCCAACGGATCCAACGGTCCAATCGTCCTCGCTCGCTCGCAGACGAGAAACCGAGATGCCACTTGGCGACCACGATGTCGCGGCTCTGTCCGGTTCCCCTTTCGCTCTAGTCCCACGAAACGGTTCCTCCGGGGCGAGAAACCGTATCCGCGAATATCCGCAACCGGAAGTCGGCGTCTTCGTTATGAGAGCGCCGCGAGCGGCAATTACTTTACGTAGCCGGGTAAATAAAGGGAATCGCTATTGCACCTAGCCTCGAACTCGAGTTGCAAGTTTCTAAATTTAGGTCCATTCGAGACTCGAACGGACGTTCGTTTCTATGGGTAGGCAGGTTCGACGAACCCTTAATCTCCATTCGGCCCTCTTAACTGCCTCAGTCCGAGAGCGAGGCTGAAAGGACCAGGTCCGAGGACCGTGGCTGAATAGGGGGCGATAATTCTTCCGCTGGTGGACGAAAGAACGAAACGATGGGATACCGAGTTCCTCGGTACGAGATGCCCCGATACGATCTAGTCTATTGCGTTCCAGTTGTGTAACGAACGATAATACGAGACCGTCCCTCGTTTCCGCAAAGTGGTCCATCGATGCGCACCTGGTCCCCGGCTTCTCCCACGGAACAGGTCGGTCGCCGCTCCTCTCCGCGTGCCCTGATCGCGCGGTGGGTGTGTCGGGTAATAGGAACGGCGCTAGAGAAGCGTGTTCGGCTAGAAACCGCGAACCTAGAATCGTCTGGTACCCCGCGGATCTCCCTCCTCCGAACGCTGCCAGCGTTGCCCCTTCCCGGTAGCTCGGCTCGTTACCGCTGCTGTTCGGCGTCGTATCCGCTCGGATTGAGCGAGGCGGAGCGATTACTCGGTTATCACCGCAACCACCGGACCACTCGGTGAGCAAACGTTCCACGGTGGACCAGCTCGAGGCGAGCCGCATCGATCTCACTTCTTACTACTACCGCTGCTGCTGCTGCTACTCGATCTCGCGGCTCTCGTTTAAAAGACGATCCCGCTGATCCCACTGCGACCAGATCGTCCGGGGTACGCGTGGCGACGAACACCGGTGGGCACGATTCGCGCCAACTCGATCGACCGATCGAGCAGGATGGACTTTTGATGGACGTTGGATAGGAAACCGGTGGTGAAGATCCGAGGAGCGGCAGAGAGTAGGTAAAGAAGAGCGGCGGAGGATGTGCTGATCGACCCAAAGGTTCGATCGCGAGAGTGCCGCGTGTCATTTCATCTCGTCGCGAGTAGTGGCCGATGTTTAATGTGTGTCCGTGATGACAGATGTGTTTTGCTTCCGTGTTTCGTTCACCGTCGTCGTCGTCGTCGTCGCCATCGTGGTCGGTAGCGAGGTGTGACTCGCTCCTGACATCGCGTCCACTCGCTCTCACTACCACCGCCAGCCAGCTACCAAATCGCTCGAGAATACGTCGCGACAGCGAACTCGGATAACCAAGGAAAATGTCCAGGACGATCGGGATTCATCTGCTGGTCCTCTTCCTCTGCTGCCAAGGTGGGTCAGCCGCGACACAGCCGCGAGCTTCTCCGCTCTCGGCTGCTTCCAGGCTAGTTGATATTGAACTTTGCGTCCGTTTAATCGCTTGACGGTCGCGCGTAATGCGAAAAATTAACCAATTTGCTGAAATTGAGTCGAATCTATATTGCTACTTATCACGCGACGTTCTCTCGTCTCACCGCCGTGCCGATTCTTCCCCCCCGTTTCTGCCCCTATTCGTGTCATTTCTCCGCCTCTTTTTCTTTTTCCAGCGTTCAGCTACAGCTTGATCCTCGAGGAAGACAAGGAGCCGAATTACCTGAACGCAGGTGTGGGAGAGTACGCGGTGTTTAATTGCGACTTGGACTTCCCGCACGAGACCCCCATTCCGTATATTCTCCAATGGAACCGTGACGTAAGTGCGACAACGTTGATTTCCAATTCGAACGTGCTACCGGTTCAGCCGCATCCCATCGCTCGGACCTTCCTTTCGCGCGTTTCCGTGCCACCTTGCGCGAGACCCGGATAAAATCGGTGGAAAAAAACGATGTTTTTCCTGCGAGGAATCGAACAAACAAATCGCTTCTCGATTGCCGATTACGCGGTTTGCGGTTGCTCGAGGAAGACGAGACTCCGATGAGACTCGGGATCGTAATGTATCGATGTCGGTATCGATACAGTCCCGACCTTGGTCATCCGCGAAAACGGATCGTCCATCTCAAGGAAATTCCCGTCCGCGACGCGACCGATGGGACACACTCGATTCGCATGAATGGGACAACGATGGAAGACGCGAGGCAGCTAATTAAAAAGTCGCGCGGACGAAGCCTGGCGATTGATTAATTCGCGTGCAGCCGCGCTCGAGGTTACGGCTATTCGCGAGCTACCCGTTGAGAACAGTTGGCGCGCACGTCCAACCGTGTAGAAAAGTGGTCGCTCAAGGCAGGGTAGCTGATTCGGTTTCTTCGAGTAGCGTATCCAACGCGATCCGCGTGGGAAGCGCGCGTGTCTCGATCTAGATTTCCGTGACGCGGGGTCTCGATTTCGAGGCGTCGCGCAATACCGTGGACGCCGTGCCGATGCGATGGCAATGCGGCTACGATTGCACAATTTTCGCCCCGTCTGGTTATCCGACCGCCAGCTTTCTCGATTTCCACGAAGACGATCCCGGAATTCAGCCCGATCGCTCGCTCGATTCCTGTTTACTCGCGACACGAAGGAAACGATAGACGCGGTGCCTCTGGATGGACGGTGAACCTGGTTGGTGGACGCGAGGAGCGAGTTAAGCGAAAGCGTTAAAGGGACATCGGTTGATCGCGTTGATTTCCTGTTCGCTGCCGAGAGGCGTCGTTCTTTCGCGGATGTTGCATTGGACGCGCGTGCAGCCGCACGCCGGAAACAGATTGAGCGTCGCACATGGCTACCGCATAAAATCAAGTGGAACTTAACCTGATTGGTCCCTGATGCGTATGCAAAACAGGTGCTCGGTCCCTCTCTGTCTGTCGAACGTGGTAATTGGAGTACGGGACGCAAGGCTGCATTATATTTAGTCACGACGAGTCCGCGACACGAGGGGTCCAACCAGTGGGTCACTGCTAACGCATTGTCAGACGATTAGGGACGATTAGCGGCCTTTTCGCCAGCCTCGTTTTGACCGCCAGGGCTCCCTAGGTTTCAGCGTTTTTCATTTTCACCGGAGGACGCGCGTGCCCCGACGACGCCTTCAGCCTTCCCTTTTTTTCCTTTCGAGGAAGGTGTCCGTTGTTCTCTTGGTCTCGCAACCGTTACGAAATCGAACGTGTCCGACTGGCCTCGCGAACGTAATCGAATGTCGGAAGCGAAGCTTGATCGACGAATCAGCATTCGTTAAGCTATCGTCGGAGCTAGACGAAGAGAGAGGCGTAGGTTGGGACTATGCACGAGAACTCGCGAATGTTTTACCGGGAATCGTACCTAGGGGAGAAAGGATGAAGCTGTTAGGGACGCGTCATGCGCGCCTCTATCAACCCCTGATACCGGGAAAGAATAATTTTTAATACCGATGAATCGGCGATCGTTGCAGGGTCGAACGATCTTTTCGTGGTACAACGGATACTCGTCGGTGGGTCTGGGCTACGAGGGTCGCGTGCACCTTTTGGAGGACTCGGTTACCAGAGGCTACGGCCAGGGCAGCATCAACCTTACCAACATTCGCGAGAGCGACCAAGGATGGTACGAGTGCCGGGTGATCTTCCCGAACAGAACGCCCAACTCCAGGAACAATGGCACATGGTTTTACCTCGCCATAGATGGTAAGGTCGCGCACTTTCTCGCATCCGTTAATCGGCTAATTCGATAACACCAAGTGGCGAAGGGAATTAACGCAGTTAAGCGCCGACTGACTAACCCTGAGCACTGAATTGGGTCACGCTGGACTACCAACGCTAACGCTGGACCAAGCAGAGGCTCGTGACCGCGAAACCGTCCTGGACTTCCGGCAACGAGGAAGTAAACGTTTACGCCTAATTTTACTTTTCACGCGTCGTCCTAGATTTTTAAGTTCCATTTCAATTTCCCAGAATTTGCGAATTTCCTCCACCCGAGTACCGAGAACTCGCGCGCGCTAAGTAGACCAAGTTTCGTTTCAACCAGTCCCTTCTCGTGGCGCGAGATTAGACCCGATGATTCACTCGTTAATTCGCACGGAATTCTGCTTTTTGCCGCTAGAGTTCTGTTGAACGTTAATGGCGAATTGAGTCATCGTGGCTATTCGCGGCGCAGTTGATCGCCGTACCTATCGATCCCGAGATCCACCGATACCGATCGAAAAATCGACACGCGGATGAGGGAGGCGCTCCTCTTCCTAGTGAAAGGAAAGCGTTAAAAGGGGTTATAACGGTGGAAAAACCGTGTTTTCACGAGTCTGACTCGTGACGAAGATGTTGGGTCGAACACGGGTATCACGTGCCAGACACGTGAACGGGACATTTTTCTAAATATAGCTTTAAAATCGCCATCTGTTATAAAATATGATATATTTATAACATTTATAGAAGGAAAAGAGATTAGACTGTACTTGCGCAATAGTAGCATCGCGAAAAACTGACTGTGTCACGCGTATTTACATTTCGCCTCGGAATTGGGACTGTTTACGAGCGCGCATTGGCGCCTACCGTTTGGGCCCGGATTTCCTCGAGCTAAACGTCGCGGGAAGGGGTTAGAACTGACCTGTCTGTCTAGGACCACGCAGGTCAAAGACGTGTCCAGAAAACGGGAGACAAAAGACAAAACGCAGGGAAAGGAACGCCCCCGCGTCGCTAGGATGTAGAGTTTATTCGAGTATTTAGCTTCTATCCACCACAGAAAGGAATAGGAAACGGAAGACGGTAACGAGAAAGAGTTTCCGCGGTTAGCCGCTGAAAGGACACAATGCCTCTGTCACGCACCGATTCGATATAACACTTGCGTATTGCGCGCACGAATCACGGTGGCAAGCGCGCCGATTAACCGACACGAATGTGCACCCGATCGATTAACGCGTTGCAACCGCAGCGACTAAAGCGAATTAACCGATCCGAAAGATTAATCCCGCCTATTGCCGACTAAAAGCAAAACGAAACTACGTAATCCCGCTGATGCTTACTAACCTGACACTGGGCAGACTCGTTAAATCGTTCAACGCAGGTGCGTCGCCGTTTCCGACGTCTGTTCCAGGCGAGACTCTGCTGGCGGTACCGCCCGTCAACAAGACTGTAATGGAGGGCGAATCTGTGAGTTTCGATTGCGTCGCTAAAGGAGAGCGATCCGTCGTCAGCTGGTTCCGCGAGGGCTCTGAAATCACGAAGAACGAGGTAACGTTCGTAACGTTCGTTCCTCCGTACCGTTTCTTTCCTCGATTCTTCAGCTAGAGAAACGAGGATACGATCATAGGGATGACACGGAGATGAACCGATTTTTCACCGATTTCGCAGGATCTCAGAAGGAGAGCATCCATCGGCGAGGATGGAACGCTGACCATCAATTCCCCTGCCATGGGTGACCTCGGGGAGTACACTTGCGTGGTGACCGGTGACACTGGAGACCAGCAGAGCGCCTCGGCCTTCCTCAACGTGCAATGCAAGTAGCTCTCAGACAGAACATCCCGTGGTAAACGAGTTAGGCCTCGGAATGTATAGAATCGGGTGACCCAAATGCGCGTGCAATTGCACGCGTAGAGGCATCGGAGAGGGTGGAATACCGCGCGAGGCCATGATCGCACACTTTCGCCCAGGAAATGAAATAATAACACGAGCGGAATAATGGGAATTACCGACGAGAACAACTGACGATAACGACGCTGTAATCAAAATCGCTGCGGGCGAAAGTTTAACGAGCGTTCAGCGCGGACCCGAATTTCCACCCTCGACCCACGTCCCATTTTAAAAGTCACGATTCCCATCCGGATTAACGCAACGTGGTTGCGCGTTGCAGACAAGGCGAAGGTTATCTACGCTCCCCGGGAAGTCTATCTACCCTACGGCAAGCCGGCCCTGCTGGACTGCCACTTCAGGGCGAATCCACCCCTGACGAACCTGCGTTGGGAAAAGGATGGATTTCTCTTCGATCCTTACAACGTCCAGGGCGTCTTCTACAGGAGAAACGGTTCCCTGTACTTCAGCAAAGTGGACGAGACCCATTCCGGAAGCTACACTTGCACGCCGTACAACGAGCTGGGCACAGAGGGACCCAGTCCTTCGATCACCGTCGCAAGTATCCCATTTCTTCTCCAAACGAACGCAATTGAACGGAACGCCAAGGCTTTTCATCGGCTCGCTCTGCGATAATTCATCGACGTTCCCTTCGTCGAGAGGTCGTTGATCGCTCGCAGACGAGTGTTAATCGCTCCTTTATTTTCCAATTGTCAACTTTCGATTGTAAAACTGCCCGGATGATTCTCCGTTCTAATTCGGGAACGTTGTTTGACAGGTCGTGCAGAGGCCTCCAGTGTTCACCGTGACCCCGTTGCACATGTACGTGAGAAAGCTGGGAGAAAACTTGGAGATACCTTGCGATGCCAGGGACGGGGATCAGTCCCATCGACCGTCCATCGTTTGGTACAAGGTACGATCTGTCTGTTCTTCTTGCTTTTCCTTCGTTAATTCGCCGTTCCCATGACAGGATGGCTCGCCAGTCCCGCCGGGCAACAGGACGATCATAATTGGCGGCAACTTGACCATCGACAGGATTCAAGAACAGGATCGGGGACTGTACCAGTGCGCGGCTAGCAACGAGGCTGCGACAGTGGTCGCGGACACGGAATTAATGGTGGTGAACGTGCCTCCGAGAGCGCCGTACAACATCAGCGCCAACAGCAGCAACAACGCGGTCACCCTGACCTGGGTGCCGGGGTACGTGAGGCCCAAGATGGAGTACTCTGTCTGGTAAGTGGACTCTTCGCGTGATCTGTGCATCGACTGACTATAATGCAGCGTCTGACTATAACCGATCATCAGGTACAGACCGACAGACACCACGGAGTGGAGAACGATGAAGATCTTGTCTAGGAAGATCACCGAGGCGACCGTGAACAATCTGAACCCAGGGCGCGAGTACGAATTCATGGTCCTCAGCCAGGACGAACACGGGGACGGGATGTTTAGCAAAACGCTGCGTATTTTCACGCAACCTCGTACGTGCACGTTCCTCTCTACGACACGCGCGTAATGATATTTGCCAAGAGTAACGAACGAAATAACTTTCAGATTCGATCGACGAGAACTCGGCATCGGAGTATCGCAGCCCGCCAGGTAAGCAGACCTAGTTTATTCGATCTTATTGCATAATTTACGTGCCTTTTGAACATCGTCGTGACGTTTCTTACTTCAAAGACGACCGAATGGGTCCGCCATTGAACGTGCGAGTGCAGCCCACGGTGCAGGGTTATTTAGTCACCTGGGAACCCCCGGCTTACGGCAAGGAGCAAGTGAGATTGTACACGGTGAAGTGGTTCCGAGGACTGGGCGAGCAACTGTACGGGAGGGCTGAAACGACCGACACTTACTACCTAGGTAATCTCGCGGATAGATAGCTAGGCATCCCTCGTATCCAACGTCGCTCCTTATCGTGCAATAGTCCGACGTGTTTGATAATCGTTGCAGTTAAAATCCCGGAGGAGGAAAGTTTCTACACCTTCGAGGTAGCCTCGATGTCTCTCGCTGACGACGTATCGGCGGGTGACAGGATTAGCCTGGATGTGCCAGCGTATCGCAGGAACAGGGCGATTTCCATGGGGATAGTGGCTGGTATCGGGTTCCTGGCAGCAGCCCTGGCCGCCATCTGGTGGGCGAGGAAACGGTTCTGCCAGTCGCCGAACGAGAAGTAAGGGACGGCGTTCGTGGAAGGACTCTAGGCTCGTTCGGCGTCGAAAGCTTTCGAGAATGGAAACGCGCACGTGCATGTCGTCGATACGATCAGTCGTAAATAAGTTTACCAAACGTAGAGATAACGTACAGTCGACGCAGCGAGTGCGAGTCCCGCTTCTCCGAGTGGCAGCACCGGCGCAGCGTCAATGGCGTCGCGCGCGATCTTGCGAAGCTGCTCGCCAACTCGCGAGCGACTGCCGCGAACCTGTAACCGTTTCCATGTAATATATTATCGATCGCGTAGATGTATCGAAACTATTGTTGGAAACTATTGGACGTTGGAGGAGGATTTGGAACGGTTTGATTTACTGCGTTTACGTATAAGTTACTACTACGAGTGTTCTCGCATTGCATCGCGTTACATTATGTATCGTTTAAAAGCTTTATTAGATAAGTGCACGTTTATTAAGGATTAGATGTGGCATTTGGTCATTATTCGGGCACCGGGCCGTGAGGAACGCAGGGGTTCTTAACGCGGCGAAAGTAACAAAGCGTCTCCCGGGCTAGATAACTCGGCTGAGTACCTATATATGTATACATCCGATACGTTTTTCTATTGTAAATAAATTGTGTCGATTACTATGCACCATGTCTCCAAGATATCCCCACGTAATGACCGTGTTCATCGAATAATCCACGAACGGGATCACCGCGCCTCGAAATTGTTTGGACAATGTCCGGTAACGAGCTTATTACCGCTGCACGCTGTGTTCGCGCGCGGTTAGAAGCTCGAAACGCGAGCTGCTCTCGAGATTACTACTTGACAGGCTTCTCGAGCGGCTAAACGATGGCCCGTGGACGATGGACAGTGTTTGCGTGGACAGCGATACCGAAGCGTCTAGGGTCCCGTCGCTCTGACAGGGTCCAGACCAGACGCGTTAATGTCGCTGAAAACGCGGCGATATTATCCCATTGCGCTTCGGATTACCTCTAATCCGAGCGACTCGGTGAAACTCCCGTTACCAGCAGCGATGTCTTCGTGGCACGGATAATCTTTGACGAAGATCTCGTTGCGTAACGTTGCCTCTATCGGCGATGACTTCGAGGAAATTCGAAGCAACGGAGGATGGTCATGAACGGAAGCGGCGCAGTCGGCACGAGCAACTGGGAAACTCTGTTATCGCCTCGAATTGGGTATCTGAGAAGAAAATCTTCCCTCGACCCCTCTAATCGAACGGTCTAAACGAATGCTCGAGATATCGGTGAGTTTGAACAGCCGTCACGGTGCTCCGTACCGCCTATCTAGACCAAACAAGTGTCAAGCTCGCTCGATTTACGTAGATCGGCGTAGATCGACACGGGAAAATGAAAAATCTCTATCGGTAAGAACCTGTCGACGGTACACGCGCACACACGCGGCTGATCCCGCCAAGATTAGGCTCGTCGTTACGTCGAGTCATCCGACAACGACGCCTCATTGTCTGCCGCAATGACAGCCTATTCTCTTAGCACTCCGTCCCGTTTGATCGCTAAACGAGCTGTGCACGACCGCTTTCGTGCCCGGGTCAACGTCTATTTTCATTCGCGCGTTGCACCAGATTCGACCGATTCGTGGGCGTGCACGGTAACCGAGCTTTCGAGCGTGTTCCGAGCGTGTTCCGCGGTCAAAGGAACGGGTAAACGCTCGGGGCACGGTCGGAATTGGCCGGGACGAAATTGCCGGGTCAATTAACAGACAGAAGCCGCGTCCTTACGGCTGCTACTCGCAAACGATGCAGACGATTCCGCTTGGCAATGAAGAGATCAACGGCTTTCGGCCGAACCAGACGAACCAGAGGGGTTGACCGTAGCGACAGGGCACTTCTGTGGCTTACTACCTGTCGCGAGCCCCTTTGCATCGCTAGTTTTAGATCGAGTGTCGTTCGAAGCACCTATAATTGGCCAGCCACGTTGCACTCGTCGTTTCGAAACTTTCCAACGCTCGTTCTCGTTTTTTCCTCCTCTTATCGCGCAAGCATCTGTCAAGGAGCGTAGCTTCCACCGGCAAACGGTCCCCAATCGCGCTGCATAGGTGGTCAAGGTTCAACGACGTAATTCGAGTCACGGGAAAGGAAAAGGACACGCGGTTATCTCGATCGTGGTCGACTTGCATTTTGTCCATTTTTACTTTGGAGATAAGATACAAGACTCGTCCTCGATAAATAACGCTTCATGACAGCCTCTAGCGTTCATACCCCTACCGTTTGGCTACCCGTTCCGTGTCAATCTCCGTGTTTGCCGAGGAGAAAGCGCGAAACGCGAATGAATGCACAGACGTCCATCACGAGTGACGAAAACCTCCATAAACCAGTGTTTCGATAACGACTCGTTGCGTAACGAGCACGGGAGCAAGCGGATTCGGCGCATCAACCGCCTAGCTTTTTCTCTGTCGCTGCTCTCTCGGACCTCAGGGTGAACGAGTCGGGAAAGTAGGTGAAACGTGTTTCAGTGGCACACGCGAAAACCTCGAGTGCCCTTGTCGAGAGATTCGCGGGTCCACCGGAGTAGTATCCAGGCCGACTCGCCGCGATCGCAATTATCTTGACGCGAGTGCGCGCGACTTTCCCATCGCGGACAGCTTACGCTCGCGACTCGTGACACGCGTAGTAGCGCTAGCACGTGTCGCAATTAGTCCGACGACTAAGCTGCCATCTACGCGTGGCGCGAACGCGACGCTCGTATTTCGGGGGTCCGTGACAGCGCACGGCGCGGCCTGGCGCGGCGCGGCGAGGCGAGGCGAGGCGAGGCGAGGCGAGGCGAGGCGAGGCGTGACTTGGGATGGCTCGGCGTCTGGCCGGAAGCCAAACGACTGCTCTATGATAGGGTAATAGAGAGTCGGTTTCGTGCGACTGAGACTCGTGGTACGATCGGGGGACCCGGCGTGTCGCTCTTCTCGAGGGGAGAAAAATCTTGAAGAGGTTTCGGAGGAACATGGCGGGGTGACGAGGGCCCGAAGAAGCGAGCAAAGGAGGGAAGTCTCCCTAAGTGGAGGGGATGCGGCCAATAGACACATTATATGCAGCCTGTTGATTCATCGGACGCGGCAGTAACAGCCGCGCTGTATACAACGTCACACGTTAGAGTCGAGGTGGCCGAGCTTGCTCGATAATCGCGTTAAAGTTTTCACGATAGGCGTTATCGGCGTGTTTCGTGACTGAAGACGGGTGCCCACTCGACCGTGGACGACCGTGGAAGCGAGCCGAGCGTGTCGTGGACTACGTGAAACAAGTAAGTCGTTATCCGCTGTACGCTGTCAACCCACTGGTAGCTGCTAGCCTCTAACCGATAGTCGGCCAGAGATCACACGCGACTCCGCGTCTCGTCTAGGAAACGCGGCGTGACAAATCGGCTAGTCACGTGCTAAAGTTCGTTCATTCACGAAGACCACTCGATGACCCGGCTTTCCCTCGCGTCCTACTCGTTCCTCGCGGTCGAAAGCAGGCAGGATCGGGTCTCGGAAGCGGACGATCCGGTATTCCGACGATCCGTGCGAATGCTAATCCCGGAAAGCAAACCGGTGTGTCAACGATTGGGGAAACGATTCATAATTGGTGATTACAAGGACGAAAGCGAAGGACGTCTGGCGCGACGCGGTGAAAAGTCGTCGCGGTCGTGGCGTCGTGGCCATCGAGGCCGCTTCATTCATAACGATTGACCCGCGTGCCACTTTGGAAGTGGGAGAAAAATCAACGCGATTGAGGCTTCTCGATTTTTAAAATAACGGCGCGCGTGATACGTTATCGGTGTCGATACGGACGTTTGACGTAGAAGCGTCGAAAAAGAGCGGAGGCGGGAAGAAATTAAAGGTCACGAGATATCGGGGGGACGAGGGTCTTTCGTCGCAGTCTTTCGTCGGAGGAACGCGGTGGACACCATGGGACAGCGAGCCGATAAACGACCTCGCGTTACTCGCGCTCGCTCGCGCATCGATGCGACACACGCGAAGCCGACGGATACGGCCGGATATGCGACAAAACGCGCGGCCGAACCTCCGTTATCGCCCCCCTATTTGCCTCGTGCTCCATCCTCGATGCTTTCCAGTTTCGCGATCGTAGAAAATTTTCCGACTCGCCGGGACGGGTCAAGGAGTACTCGCGCGATCGTCCGATGATCGGACGATAGATCGGCGGGAAAAATCGGCGTAGCCGCGATTCGCGGAACTACGATTAAGAGTTCAATGCAACGAAGATAAGAGCAGCGCGAGGATAAAAAGATTCAGCTAGTCCGCGAGCGAGTACGCGACAAAAATTTATACGATCGCGCGGGTCATGGCCAGGGAACGAGATCGTAAACGCCTGTAATAAAGCGCGATCTCGAGCGTCGCGTTTTGCGCCGCTCACTTTTTAGCATACCTCCTTGCAAAAGTCGATCGTCGGGAAAAGTTACAAGGTCGAGAGCTCGCAGAATAATTCGCGGATTTGCACGGAAGGGAAACGCTCGCGCGAGATCGGCGTGTCCCCGATGCGCGCTCTGTATCTCGCGTTACCGCGAACAAGCGCGCGTTATCAAATTATCCGAAGCAGACGCAGCATCAGCGAAGCTTCGGTTACGTTTTTACCGCGAAATCCACGCGATTCGGTATTTCCAGAATCGCGCATTCCATCACCGCGAGTAACTCCACGCTCATCGGCTATTCAGCCGCGCCGCGACAATCGTCGCGAAATTTGCATCTCTTTGCTCGCTTGTTTACGAAAACCGTGACTTGCTTTACGCTCGAACGCGTGACAATTTCCAGCCGAAAGAATTCGGCGAGATATCGCGTTCGATATCTCGTTCCGCGATCCCCGGCAGACACGTGCGCGGAAATCGCGATACCCAACTTTCCGCGTCCGATAACCAAGTGTCCCGCGCTTTTCCCGATTAGCACCAGAGTGATCTCTTCCCACGGTGTTATCCGAGTTGCATAAGCTCGTTAAGAGCGAATCGTTCGATTGGATATCTGCCGCCGCGAGGCGGGTTACGCGCCGCGTCGTTACGGCGAAATCATCATTTCGGCAGGCTGACGAGGGTCCACGAATTAACGAGTACCGAGTAACAAGTAGGTCGCAGGCGCGCAAACGAAAAGGAAGAAGAAGACAGCTCCGATCCTTTTCCGAGACAACAGTTCTGACCGACGAATTTGCCTCGCACTCAGAGTACGCGATATTTCTTTGGTATTTCTTCGCTAGCTTCAGAAGTGGTTTCATTTGAATTGCCAAAGGAATGCGAAATGTTACTGAAAGCGTCTAGCAACATGGAGCTCAAGATTAGAACTTTCCAACATCTCGCACTCCTGTGGGATAACCGCGCAAATAAAATTCCGCCATTGTAAAACGCACAAATTTCCCCCTTGAATTTTCTCGACAACCGAATCAGCGTCTCGCGATGCTTCTTCGTCGTTAGTCATTCTCGATATCCTCGCGGAACGTGCGCAATCGCGATTTACGAAGCGGAAAAGCTGTCGTTTCCGTGGCCCACACAGAAAACGCGCGACGCAGATGACGGTAGTCTGCGATCCGACCGTAGGACGGAAGAGAGCGCGGAGAAATGACCGAGTGATTAGATAGGATTTATCTCGCTTCAGGCTTCGCGGCGAGGAAGAGCGACCGGACACGGACCTGACCGGAGAACGCGCACCGACCATGGCGGTCGAAGGCACGTTCGCGGAGGAGCAGAGGAACTGTCTGTCACGTTTCAGGGCTTTCGTCGTCACTAGGCCTTGGACCAACAAGTTCCTCGCTCTCGCCCTCTTCGGCTTCCTTCTCATCGTCTGCGGCAAGGCGCTCTACTTCTGCTGGCCCGCCATCTTTCATCACATTCTGCAAAAGGTGAGGAATTAGGCCTGATCGGCTGATTGACAGATCGCGACGCGCGATCTCGCAACGGTCGCACTCTTCTTATCGATCTGAATCGTACGAGGTGCTTCTTCTTGGTGATTTTATGGTTTCTACGCCGCAACGGTGCAACCGTGAGTTTTCCTTTGCTCTTTCCTTCGCTTTTTCGCGAGCGCGAGCTTGTTATTGCTCGATCGGTCGCGACAGCAGATAATCGGCGGTCGTAACGCGATTTGTTTTCACCAGAAGCTAGCGTAAATATAATTACCGCGATTTATTTGTCTGCGTCGCGAGAATTAGCCGGATAGCCTCCGGGCTTTTGGGTTATCTCGCGATTCGTTAAACCGCCCTGCCATTTTCTTTCTATTTCACGCCCCGATCGGGCGGAACGCGGGGACCCACTGAGGAATACTTGGCCAGGAGAAGACGAAACGGGACCCGGTCGGCAATCTCGCTAGCGTCTCGTCGTTGTTCCCAGCGCGATTGGAAAAGTGGTTGATTGTTCAATTAATCGACGTATCTCTTTGGAGTTGCGCTAGACGAATAATTTCTCGTTGCGAAGAAACGTGCATAGCGTACTGCTCAGCTGCACAGGCCGGTCTAACCTATTTTCCGTTCAACGATTTTCAGACGAACCACGATATCGCCTCGTTTTCACCGACATTTTTCCTCCTCGATTAGACCGTTTGTTTGTCAACAAGTTTGCTATAGCGAACGCTGACTTGGTCGTGGTTTAGACAGGATGTAACGACCTTTGACAGCGCGCTCGTGTCTGATACGATAAAATCGCGAATTCTGTTGCATGAGCAAAGGTCCGTTGACTCTTACAAGGAGAATGCAAGTCCTTTGAGTCATCGATTCAGTTCAAACTTTGCAGGTTTGTAGATTTAGATAATTTTTCAGATATTTATGCTCGAAGCTTTGTTATTCTTAACTACTGATTTCTTTCGAATAATTATCCATATTTACAAAATTTCGTTGTGGCCTAACGGCGACATCAGAAAGCCCCCCCTACCCTTGGTGGGCCCAGGGTTCGATGTCAACCATAATTGACAGTGCTTTTTTCCACCTATTTTTTATTTTGTATTAATTTTTCGCCCATGAAAACGTACAATTTTACACGAAAATTGTTTAATGAAAAACATACTCGTTTATCGTTGATCACAACAGTGGTACTTATTGTGCAAACAGGGAAGTGACATCAACATCTTGCACATCGAATAAGTGGAATATTATTACAGGAACATCTGCTGTATGTCAACCCTTTGCATTCGACGGCTTTTTCGTGACAGAAAAATAGTAATTCGAAGACTTTCTGTCATAGAGTCGAGGATATTTTTAAAATGGTAAATGAGAAATCATATGCAAATAAAGACAGAATTATTTTTCTTCGACATTCCACACGTCGTTAGGTAATTTTAAATTTGATATATTAATTAACGTCCACCTTTAGAATCTGATTAAATGGTGACTGAAAGTCACCTCTCGAGTGCAAAGGGTTAATAAGTCTTTTGGAAAACAGACATGATTAATATTCTCAAAAATGTCAAATCGATATGATACTAGCATGAGAAAGCGTAAAAAAATAAATTTTGTTATTAAGAAATTTTATTTACAATTTATTTAAAATTATTTGTTCTTATGGGCGAAAAATTATTAAAAAATAAAAGTAGATTGAAAAAAAAACTATCAATTATGTGTATATGCACAGCAAATAAATTCAACAAAAATTCTTAAAGGTATAAATAGGAGTAATAGCTAACCTAAGTTTATAAAACTAAAGATTCTGACTGACAGAGTACGTAGTTTGCATTATGTACTACCGAGGTACTTGCACTTATTACTGTATGGAGAGGTAGTAAGTAGGGAGCACTTGATCTATGTGGTATAAAAATATAGAAAGCAATTTTCGGGTGTCATTAGGCCACAATGTCACTTGACAATTACTCGAAATAAATCTGGAATGAAGGCAATAATGAAACTTAATCGTAAATATCTCGAAAATTATCGAGTAGCTGCCCTTGCAATGATATATTTTCTTGAATTTCGTGACGAAATCTACAAACCTACAACGTTTCAACTAAATCTATCACCCAAAGGAACTGCACTCCCCTTGTTAGAATAGGTTGATACAATGGCTATAGTACAGCGTTGATCTCTACACTCGGTATTGCATGGTGAACTGTTAATATCTCCGACTATAACAGTTTTACACAACGATCATTCTAGAATTGCTACGGAATTTAAATCATCAGAGAACAGATTAATCCCACGGCTACAGTACTGTGTTGAAGGCTGTACTCAGGACTGTATTGCCAATTGCCAATACCTCTAACGATATTAGATCTGTCCATTGATCATTCTACAACTGCTGTAGAAGCAAGATTATCGGAGAATGGAGTAATCCGATGGCTATAGTTGTGAGTTTGTTGCCTAACAATCGTATATTTATTAAAAAATTATAAATTATACACCTCTGATAACGTAATTGTTCATTCTCACGCTTCCCTTAACAAACTGAACTTTCTTATATCAACTCTGATCCATAGCAACTGCACAACACCACGCATTCTAGATCTTCCACTCGCACTTCTAAAAACATACTTATCTACATTCGTGCCATTACTCGACCTCACACATTTGCATTTACATTAATAAAACCAAGTCCACAATAGTAACGTGCACATGGCTGTACCCAGTACTATTTTGTCATTTGTGAATATCTCCGGTAGTCATTATAAGTCCACAATAGTAACGTGCACATGGCTGTACCCAGTACTATTTTGTCATTTGTGAATATCTCTGGTAGTCTATCTCTGGTAGATTTAACAATCATTAGGCCAACCTCAGAGTTCGAAACATCTTACTCGTTCCTACCTCGACTAAGAGCCAATACTCATTTTCACCCCACGAAAAAGTAAGAATATTTATGGTCATGTTAGGGGAGACATTTGGAAAAGAGGCACAGAGAAACGTGTGCATATTGGGAAAGATATATAAGAGAAGGGACACAGTTCTTGGTGTTGAATTTGTTATAGACAGTTTTAGTTGTAAGTGGGATGGTAAAATTCAATAGCGAAGTAAATTCTACATTGCAACGATATGGGGGCGATCCCTTCCCCTGTGTTCTGTCTTTTGTCACCAGTCCTCTGAAGACGACTTTTGACCTGCGTGGCCCTAAACAGGCCAGTTCTAACCATTTCTTTCGTCCGAATCTTCTTATCGACCGTATGAAGACTTCAGGCGAAGGCTTACGTCGTTCTAAGAACGTAAACTATTTTTGAAGGTTTAAATATAATTTAATTTGAATATATCTACAGCAATTTACAATATGTCTTAGCGATGTGCGTTCTACCGTGGTGTCGTTTGTGTTGTTTCGATGTTTGTACTCCCTGTCTTCTTGGTGTCGTGTATTTTTATATGTTCGTCTGTCGCTGTCATTGGCTGTCGAGATGTCTAAGTGGTGGGTGTGTTTTTTCTCCTATTGGCGACGTGTTCGTTGGAGGGATGTGCGGGGGGCTCGGAACTGGTAGGTGGAAGTGGAAGTTTAAACAAATTGTTAATTTGTTTAGGTTTGGGAAATTTTAATTCTTTTATGGGGGTTGCTCGGAGGTCGAGGTGTCCGCGAATCGTGGGACGCTGGTTATAAACGAGTAAACCATCGTCCCTTCGATTCGGGTCCCTTGTTCTTGAGGGTATGTATGGAAATAGGGATAAGGTAGAGGTCTGTGTTTTTCCTGATGGAGGTAGAGGTTCGAAGGATGTTAGTTAAAATATGAAGGATTCGCGTCTTTATGGAGGATCGTAACGGTCTGTGAATTGGGAATGAGTGTATGGAATGAACACCGTTCGCCCGTTCAATAAACATCTACACAGTCTTTCCACAGTTTTCCACTGATTACTATTCCTTGCGTTATAACCCCTTTAACACTAGATTCACGGGACCCGTGAATTTGACGAAAAAGGGTTGCTCCAATTATACGATGGTAACAGATTTAGTTAACTTATATTAAGACTGTTGATATAACATATAATTGTTTTTAAATTAAACTAGTCGTTAAAAAAAAGGCACGTGGTTTCCTTTATCCGTCAATTTGACAGGTGTCCTTAGAAATAGGTATAACAGTAAGCGGTTAGTTGTTGCAAACTGAGTTGTTATTGAGTTGTGAAGTTGAGAGCTGTCTTGAGTTAAGAATCGATATAGATTCATGTAAAGAGATAATTCGTATGTTTAATCATCACTCGCACACTGTTAATTTATTATTAAAGATAAATATATATCATGAACCACCGATCCGTCTCTACAGTATCGTAGAATGGCAAATACTGGTCTTGAGACACCGAAAATTCACGAAAGAACAAGAACACGATAACACAAACTCAAAACTCGTAAACTGGTTTAACTTAGGGAAAAAACACGAAGGTAACGAAAACACACAAAGAGACTCTCTCTTTTAAAACTCTCTTTTCAATACCAAGCGACTCACGCTTGTGTTGGTCACAACCGATTTCCAAGGAGCCTGGTTTGCTCGTCAAGGACCACGCTTTTACGCTTTCCTTGACCTACGCAGTGGAGTCAGGCAACTCAATTTTGTTATATAGAATAACCTTTCGACTTGCTTCGAGGAGATATCGATCGGTTTACAATTTGTTTTCGTTGGCAATAGCCGATTCGCGATTTCCTTTGGTATCCTACAGTATCGTATATAGAAAAGTTCCGAAATGTGCTTTCCTTGACCTACGCAGTGGAGTCAGGCAACTCAATTTTGTTATATAGAATAACCTTTCGATTTGCTTCGAGGAGATATCGATCGGTTTACAATTTGTTTTCGTTGTCAATAGCCGATTCGCGATTTCCTTTGGTATCCTACAGTATCGTATATAGAAAAGTTCCGAAATATGTTACAAAATATTAACCCTTTGTACTCGAGAGGCGCCCTTCAGTCGTCGTTTGATAAAATTTCGAAGCTCGATATTCATAAATATGTGAAACTTCAGGTAATGTAACGGTGTGCGAGGTATCGAAATCAAATAATTCTACGTGTTAATTATCATACGATTTCTTATTCCTGCTCAGAAAAATATCGTCAGCTTTGTAACAGAAAATCTTTGAACTTCTATGCGTCTTTGGCCAAGAAATCCTCAAGTGCAAAAGGTTAATCCGTCTATTATAACGTTCTTCATCCAAGCTCCAACAAATTCTGTTGACAGGAACTGCCATTGACGCCGACGTCGAAAGCCTTCGAGGTATGGAACGACACGAGCAGCCTGCCGCCCATGTATTTAAAAATCCGCTTCTTCAACTGGACCAACCCGGACGAGCTGAGGATGGACTACAAGAAGCCGAACGTCGTGGAAGTGGGTCCATACGTGTTCCGGTATGGTTGGCCAAATACGAAGGATCGCGGAGGACTCGAGGAAGTAGCATCGACGGATGCGCCATAAAATCGATAGCTTTCCGCGTTGGAGTGTGAATTAGCTAGCCTTGCTCCGTAGTACGTCACTGAAATCGATGAATCGAAGAAAAAAGCGTCGTGACAGTCGAAGCGGAAACCGTTGCGTAACTGCGAATCGCACTCGATGCGTTGCAATGAAAAATACCGTATTTGTAATGCAAAATGAGCCTAGGCGAGCCACGTCTGAGCGAACCACGCCGATTGCGAGATAAAACGGACGCGGATCGAATTCGTGGCCGCGACTTCTCCGCTCGATCTTCCCCGCGGGGACGCGGTCAACAGTCATCCGGCCTAATCGTGACAGGGAACGAACACACCTAGTTAACCCCGCGATATTGACATCTTAACGAACGGTGAAAACTCGAGCGGAGGATGACTCGCGTAGGAGGATTTAAACGTCGCTCGTAAAACGATTGCTCGTTTAATTGCTTTCTCTGCGGTCGGAAGCTGCTGTCTATCAAGGGACCCGACCGAATGCATAACAACGCGCGTCGCGTTTCAGCAACCTTCGACCAACCGGTTCCTCGTGGATTCTGGGAAAGTTCCAGTCACTTGGTCACTGGAATGCACTGTGAAGCCGTGATTTAGGGAAAATAATATTTTTAAAAGCACGTCTCGGTTCTGACGAAGGTCTGCCTGTCTGGTAGTCTCGGTTCTGGCTGCCGGTCGGATCGCAACGAGGTCGCTGTGCCATTCGAAATAGAAGGCTCCCTCTAGACGGAAGGTCGCCGAATCCGCCCCTAGTCCCGAGACGGTTACGTGAGCAAGATCGCGCCGCTAACAAGAAGCGAAGATTAGACGTGCCGCAAGGTGCATCCGCGAGTCCATGCACTTAGCAAGAGGCAATTGTCGCGTCAAATCTAATCAAGCAGACACGCAAGGATATGTAGGCTAAAGCGCCAAATCACGGTTCTCTAATCACGAACGCGTCGCTTAATTGAACGCCGCGCTCGGCAACCACGCTTCCGAACGACATTCCTCTCGATTGCCATGCTCGCGTAATTTTTGTCATTTTCCCAGCCGATTTCCGTCCTCCGCAACCCGGTGCGGCCCATGCAGCCGCGTAATGACACGCTTCTCGAACGAGCGACGTTCCGCTTCGTACGGTAGGCAAACAGCGTTACGAGAACGTGTCGCGCGTCGAAACGACGAATCCGCGGCGTAAACGTTTTTTACAGGCCGCATGTTCCATATTTCATAGCGAACCTTCGTGACCTAACTCCGTTACAGACGTGCCGGCGAGGAGACGCGTTTCCGGCTAAATCCGAGAAACGTTTACGTTATTTTCCTCTATTCTCTCTCTCTATTTTTCGTTCTTCGTCTTTTACTTCGTGAAGAGGAACGTGGAGAGGTTAGAGTATGGAAGCCGAGGTTTCCGCGTGAGATTCGCGACGTTGGTGACGACTGGTCGAAATTTCAGAGAGGTGAGGCAGAAAGTGAACGTGTCGTTCAATCCGGAGAATCACACGGTGAGCTACTTCAACAGACGATGGTGGTACTACGAGCCGGAGCTGACCAACGGTTCCCTGACCGATCGCATCACGCAACTGAACATCGTCGCGATCGTGAGTAGACGGAATCCTCGACGTCGGGCCACGCGACTATTTATCGCGTTTGCCTCTGTTCCAGTCGGCCAAGCACAAGATACGATACTGGAACGAGGCGCTACAGGGTACCCTATCGCTCATGTTGTCCACGTCGAACGTGCACATCTCGAAAACCGTGGACGAGCTGCTGTTCACCGGCTACGACGACTCGCTGATCGAGATGGGACGAATGGTGAGCGGCGAGGACATACCGCCGTTCGACAAGTTCGGATGGTTCTACATGGTAGGTTGCGAACGGGCGAGGGCAGCACAGACTTTGGACGAGCCGTTTCACCGCGGAAGCTGGCCGAATTTGTTTATTTAATCGTGTCGAGGGCGCGCAGAAGGTCGAAGATGCGATTTGCGCTGTTGTAGCAACGGCATTGCAGCCGACGATAAATTATTCGCAGCGAGACTTAAATTGGTACTGAATAGGACAGGTCACGTGTAGGTCGCTGAATGACGAATGAAAAGCAATGGGAGGCATATTATGTATTAATTTGTTACGTCACGCGTGCAACATTTACGCCGAACTAATCCCACCTATGCTGCTGCATGCCCTGCCAACCTTTCTTTTCCCTCTTTTTATCTCCTCCGATTTTTTCGTCGCGTCGTAAATCCATCGGAGAGAGCAGGCCTGACAAACGATGGCTGGTCGGCGATAAATCCATCGTGACGCACTGTCGTTTCCCTACTTCCACCCGTGGAACGTAACGCGATGCACACCTGCTACGTTTCCTCCGTTTATCGTTTCGACGTGGTCCAACGCTGGATCCCGGTCCCGATTAACGTCGGAAGGTCTCGACCCCTTGCCCCCCGTGCGATCAATCGCGTTTCTGTTTCAGATGAACGGTTCCACGACGTTCGACGGGAACTACAACATGGCCACGGGCACCGACGACATCGGCAAGTTCGGCTCCCTGAAGAATTGGAACTACCGCGACACGACCAAATTCTTCAAGAGCCCGTGCAACGTGGTGGAAGGAAGCGCCGGCGAATTCTGGCCGCCGTATAGGCAGAGGGACGAGATCATGCTGTACAGCGGTGACCTGTGCAGGTCAGTCGCGGCGTCTGTCAAAGAAAGGGACGCGTGCACCCGCTGGCTAATTACTTTCGTCTGCGCGCTCGCGGCGAATCGAGCGTCGTCGAACCTTGGACGATCTTAATTCCCAAGTTCCTCCATTAACCTTCGAGTCGCGTAAATTGGATCGTCCGGTAATCCCGTTCACGTAGGTGGAGTCGATAAGGTCGTCAACGTTCCGTTCGCAGCGAAACCTCGAAGCAACCCAGTCGGGGTTCAAATCTCTGTGAAATTCGTGACACAGCGGGATTCCCATCATCGTTTGCTTTTCCCATTTTCGCAGACCGTTGACGTACGAGTACGAGCAAACGGTGGACTACCTGGGCCTGGACAGTTACCGGTACGTGCTAGGTGAGAAGACCCTGGGAAACAGCACGAGGCGACGCTACCCGCACGAACAGGCCAAGTATTTCGAGCAGACCACCACCACCGAGGACTTCTTCGAGGCCGAGCACTCCGTGGAGGCTACCGATCCTCCAGAGGAGGACCCGGACGTGGTGAACATTGGAAACTGCTATTGCAACGGGAAATGCACCCCGGCCGGTCTGATGAACGTGAGCTCCTGTCGCTACGGTGCTCCAGTGTTTGCCAGCTTGCCGCACTTCAACAGGGCAGACCCTAGTCTCAGGGAGGCCATCACTGGACTCAATCCCGACGACGATCACGACTTCTCCATCACCCTCGAACCGGTAAACCGCGTGGGAAATCTCGTTGCGAACGAAAATCGCATACCAGACTGCGCCAGAATCGTTTCGATTCTTTGCACGCATCTCCCGATTAATTTTTCATTCGCGTCCTCGACCTCGGAGAATAATGCAACGACCTTTGCTCGCGATTCTTACGTACGATGCTGCGTAACGCGTAATCAACATTCGCCGTATCGAATATTTTAAGGTAGCTGTTTATCTCTCCGTCGAATATTACGATCGTTGCTTATCGCGAGATCGATGTACCGCTCGTTACGAGCGTTAGGTAACTTATTTACGATCCGTTGCTTACCGTGGCAAGATTCGACGATAAACCAGCGATATATTCCTCTGTCAGTGTCTGCCAAGCTGCAGATCAACATCCTACTGGAGGAGTCAAAGATCGTGTCGTAAGTACGTTTTTACGGTTAAACGGAATCATCGAACGTGCTAGTCTCGCGTGGCGCGTCCTGATTCAGAGACAAAGAGATCGAGCCGGTAAATGAAGATGGCCGACGCGAGGTTAAAGAGGATTGTCCTTCAGACTTTTCAGATCAGTACCGACCATTTACTTCCCGGTGATGTGGTTCTCGTTGGAGGTCGAGGCCACCGATCAGTTCGTCGGTGACTTGAAGAAGCTCCTGGCCATTCCGAACGTGTGCATATGCACGGGTTTAATCATGATCGTGGTGGGCTGCCTGGTCGACTTCACCATGATACTTTTGTATCTGTTGAACAAGCAACGAGCCAACCCGATCCCCGCCGACAAGGTAACCATTGGTGAGCGAGAGACCTGGCTAATTCGTGTCAACTGGTGTGGCTCTTTACAGAACTCGAAGAAGGAGGTGGTCCCGTCCGCGGTGGACAAATCGGAGCTGATTTACCTGAACCAGAACTACGCCAACGAGGACATGCACGTGAGGGGCGACCGCAGACTGTACGCCGGCACGATCGAGACCTACAACCCGGAAGCACAGAAGCTTCAGAGCGAGAAATAGGGAGGAAGGATGGAGGACTCTGTCAGCGGGTACAGTCTGCCGACTAGGATCAAATGTGTTCGATAGATGGCTTGGACGCGATTAACGATCCCTCGATCGTGTCAGGGGGTTCCCCTTCCGCGAGAGGTCGTAAAAGTATTTGAACGCTGACTCAGTCGCGCGAATTAACCAAGACTTTAGGATAATAGGATTCGAAAACGGATCGAATCCCAAGTAGGCTGCTGGTCTGCGAGAACCAGAGATCCGAAGCGTCTGACGAGTCACGTCCGAGATCTAGGGATTTCCCGGACGGTTGCTCGTCAGCCTCGATCTAGGAACCTTTTGTTCCCCTCGACCGGGATTCGTTCCAGGTTTTCTCTCTCCCTTTTACACTTTCTCTCGCCTTCCGTATTTTTATCTCTGGAACCAAAGCGAAGCTCGTTTGCATCTCGTTCAGCTCCGAACACGTCGAACAGTCCGCTAGATCGATTCGACGATAGTACATTCCTCGATTTTATATTAATCGACGAAAATCGAAGACTGACGGACGCGTGGGGTGACAAACGATGCTGTGATTGGCGTGCATCGATGAAACTCGAATCGGACGTCGACGGAAACGTCTGGTTCGAGTTTCGTGATCGCAGGGACGGGACCAAGCAACTGCTCAATGGTAGACATCGTTCGTGCTAGCGGATATAGGGAAATAAACGGGAACGACGTGCCGGGTCAATTTATAGGCGCCGAACTTTTACATTCGCGAATAGCGCGTAGCGATTGATCATTTTATCGCCGACGGATCAATGTTCCTGTCGTTTCGAGAGCTACTCCTGTGCCAAATCTTTAGTCGAGCAAGTTGTTAAGTTTCTTACGTACACACTGGCGTCCTGTTTACATTGTTACTCGTTTATTACTTGTTTTTAAGATTGCCACGGACGTCAACGATTTACACCGAACGAGCGTGATACACTGCGAGGCTTAAATCATCGCGATTCGAACAAGTGCAATTATCCGCGTAGTTATAATTCTATCGCGTAATTACAAAATGGCCGGGTCGAGCTACGGCCGACCTAGGAATCCTACGATTTTGTATTGCATTTTAATAAAAACTCACAACTTTTACCGCGTTACGTAATCGTGCGTGATCCACTTGCCAGGTTACGCAACGAGCACCATTTTTCGTCTACGCGAAAGTCGCACGCGAGATATTTCGAGGTACAGAGAAACAGAGACATCTATGGTAACGTTGCTGTCGATGCCTTCTTTACCGACGACGGGTAACTACCCGTGCCACGTGTATATCGTTGGTCGATGAAAGCGACGAGTTCAAGCGTATCTCTCCAACGAATCGATGAAATTTTCCTACGTTGCACCGATTAGAGAACCTCGTTTAAACGAAAAATAACGATAACATCGTGGGAAACGCAATTGCTTTCGCGGATGGCGCTGAATTTTTTAACGTTCTCCGGGCAACGCGTTTTCATCGTCGCGTTCCAGTCGCTCACCCTTCCGAACGTGCATTCTAACCACTATCTCTCGGCAACGATTAGATAAAAGTTAAAACCCCGCAATGGGACGAACCGTTGTTTCGTTATCCACGACGCGTCGCCTTTCCGAAACCTTTCTCCTACGAAAAATATTTTTCCGTCCGAAATAAGGAAACTTCTCGATTGCCAAAAATTTCGAGCCTCGTTACGGACGACTCGTTTTGCAGCAGTTGGTAAGATGCGCCACGTATTGATCTCGACGCTTACGTAACGGCCTCCAGTGGCATTAACGACGCTAAACGTCCGACATTCCAGTGTCGCGAGCGCACGATCGATATCGATAGAAAATCGGCGTCAAAGTGCTTTCGAGAGCCCATCGAGACCGGCTAGAGAATCGAGGTGAGGCGTTCTCCGTACAAAAGGCGACGAGGGGCGACGCGATGCACGGTAGGCGATGAAAAGACACGATAATCGAGATTGGTGGGGGACGGCATCGATAGAGCCGGAGAAACGGACGAGTCAGCCCGCAGCGACGGAGTCGAGTTAGGTTAGGACACGTAATCGCGGAGCCACGTAAGAAATTAATTTCGCGGAATCGGTGCAGGCGCGTTGCTTCGCGGCGACGATGGCGCTCGAAAATCGATAACAGACGAGGCGTCTTGAAACGTTCGAACTCTTTCGTTGGAATCTTGGCTCGCGACACGAATCGGATTAAAAGCTCGGCTGGCGCGCACTCGTGCGTCGTCACTGTTTGCCCTTGATTCGGTCGCTGGCGCGACGGGAGCGCCGCGCTCGGCGGAAACGGGAACCCGATGCATAAGCGGGGACACATCGGAACGTCTAATTGTCACGTCTGCCTGTCCGTTTCGATTCCGTCGAGTGCTTTAAAGAGGATATCTACGGACACTCGAGGCAGACGTGGCTCGAACGGTCGAAAGAGGGGGAAAGAGAGAAGGAAAGACGGTTGACTAGGCGTAAAAGGAGAGGAGAGGGCCGAGGGGACCTTCGACTCGCGCTACAAAGGAGAATATTCCCCATTGTCTCGGGGAAACTCCCATTTTTCTATTGTATCTCGACAGCGGCGTCGGCCCTGAGTTCGCCTGCACGTAGGAGCGGGGTGCGCGTGCGCGTGGCCGCGCATCCACCGCACACGTAGCCAGCGCGCGCACGCACACACGCCGAGCTATCTCGCCGACCTGGAAAATTTGGAATGCGCCGATGCATTTCCATTTCCTTGCTCGCGTCTGCCTCGGTCCGCTCGGGAAACGAGTCAAGGACAAGTCCGGGAGTTATGGCCGATTTGCGAACGACCTCGCCACGAGGACGTTCCTACACCCAGCGCGCTCGTGCCGGGCTTTCGGCTCCCGGACGGACGTCCTTTAAAGTCCCTTCTGTTCGAGAGAAATGGGGCTGCTGTTTACGGCACGACCGCGAACAACGCGGCCGTTCTCGAGGGGCCTGTCGGTTCGTTAAGACCGGAAGGTCACGGCAGCCCGAAGGCCTAATCGCTGCGCGCATCGGACAACGGCGTCGTAAAACATGTGGTCGCCAAACGTGGCGGAAGGCCGGCGATCCGTCGCGACGCCTATTCCTCGCGTCCACCTTGGAATTTGTCAGACACCGAGCTAGCCTCGGGAACCAGCTAACGAGGGATCTCAAGATGTACGTATCGGAGCGCGTATATCTTGGCGAGAGAGGCAGATCGAGTTCGGAGGGCTTCCGAGAAGACCTAATCGGCCCGACTGCCGGATGCAATCCGACACTAGTGTCGGCGCGATCGCGTACCTCACGGGGAGCTAGGTAGTTGGCGCTAGGGAAGGAATACGTGAGCCGATCGGCGAAACGAGTAGAACCCAGGGACCAACCCTTCGCGACTCGTTCGATTTCAAAGATGCAGCGTCGAGTGGGGTGGGTCAGCGACGAGGGGTGGACGTCGCTGAACCCTCCCCTCGGGTCGAGCGAGAGCTCTCGCAGCCGCCATCTCGAGCCATCTCGAACCATCTCCAAACCTCGACCACATCTCGGATCACGAGTCAGGGGTGAACTAGGGAAATCTAATTTTTTCTCGCGATAGTCTCCGTCCACGAAACTTTGCGGTGTATAACGCGAGATTGCTTCACGGACGGGACGAAACGAGAGGAAGCGAATTTCCCAAGAGTTTTGGCCGGTTATTTCGTGGAGCTCCCCTAGTTTCGTGCCGGCTAACTTTCACAGGCATCGGAAGGCCGCGATTATCGCGGTTAGACAAATATCCCGTGTCCTTTCCGCAAAAATCGCGTGACGGTTGCTCGAGGAATTAACCTATCAACGAGACTGACCCCTTCGTTCCGGCTCGCGCGCCGTAATTACGCCCCCTTTCTCGCGCCTCGATTTCCTTTTATCTCTTATTGGTTACGTTCATCGAACGAGACGAAAAATCGCGGAAAGGTAGGCAAAGGTGAACACTCGATCGAGGGACCGATCTCGCGATACTGTTTCGTACGCTGGAACCGCGGTGGTTGGGCATAATAGCGCGAAAAACGTGGCAACTGCACACGCGATCGCAGGCATCGAACGTTCGGCTATTCAACTCGATACACGCGCACGTGATCCAGGCATTGTGATAAGCGGCGGTTTTTTTCCGCGGATCGCGGCGAGACTTCGCTGACGCGTAAATTCGCCAACTTCGCCTTCCGACGCAATAATAAAGATCGCGACGCGTGAATTTGCATTTGCGAGACGCGACCGGTCGTCGAAACGTTTCGCGAAATTCCGAGCTACCCTCCGATCGCGGCGAGACTCGGTTGACGCGTAAATTCGACGACGAACCTCTCGATGCAATAATAAAGATCGTGACGCGTGAATTTGCATTTGCGAAACGCGACCGGTCGTCGAAACGTTCCGCGAAATTCCGATCTACCCTCCGATCGCGGTGAGACTTCGTTGACGCGTAAATTCGCCAACTTCGCCTCTCGATGCAATAATAAAAATGGCGACGCGTAAATTTGCATTCGCGAGAGTCGACCGGTCGTCGAAACGTTTCGCGAAATTCCGAGCTACCCTCTGATCGCGGTGAGACTTCGTTGACGCGTAAATTCGCCAACTTCGCCCCTCGATGCAATAATGAAAATGGCGACGCGTGAATTTCCATTTGCGAGAGTCGACCGGTCGTCGAAACGTATCGCGAAATTCCGAGCTACCCTCTGATCGCGGCGAGACTTCGTTGACGCGTAAATTCGCCAACTTCGCCTTCCGACGCAATAATAAAGATGGCGACGCGTGAATTTGCATTTGCGAGACGCGACCGGTCGTCGAAACGTTTCGCGAAATTCCAAGCTACCCTCCGATCGCGGTGAGACTTCGCCGACGTGTAAATTCGCCAACTTCGCCTCTCGATGCAATAATAAAAATGGCGACGCGTGAATTTGCATTTGCGAGAGTCGGCCGGTCGTCGAAACGTTTCGCGAAATTCCGAGCTACCCTCCGATCGCGAACCCGAACCCGAACCCTCGACAGATGTTCCAGCCTCGACCCTCGATCCGTGGCACGACCCCTGTCGTCGGGTTTACGCCTCGCTTGGGGCTCGTGTGCCGCACACATGTCGCGTGGAGTAACAAATATTTCGCGAAACCGCGTCTTCCGGCCGGCTGCCGTTTAGCACGCTAATTACCGCCGCGCGTGCACCGAGTCGTGGCAATTGTTCGGAGCTTGGAACGCGTCGCGATCGAGCGAGATCGGTCGTATGGGAAGAGCGATGGTCGGCAACGAACGGGGAACCGGTTCGCGCAGCCGCTGGCTTTTCCTCGTGCGAGTCGCAGCGGAACGCTAACGTCGAAAACGCTCGAGACCCCGAGGGAATTTGCGCGATAAGAGCGGCGCGATATCAGCGGTGCGGAGCGGACGATACGATCGCGTCCTTCGGAAACGTTGCGACGCGATGAAGATCGCATGCCGAAAAACGAAGCCTACGACACGGACGATTAATCGGGGACTATCGATTATTCGAATGTGGAACGCGGACGAGAACGAGTCCGGGATGAGAAGGCATCGGGAGAGACGCATCGCGAGCGCGATGAGCTAATCGACAAAAATTCGCTTCCGCATCGTGATCCGAAAGCAGAGGCTCGCGAAAGCTACGTTTAGACAGATGCTCCGGTTACCTGGCGCGTTCGACTATCGATCCGAGACCGCTATCGTTACACGGGATATTTGAACAATTTTCTGATAACGCGCCACCTGGCCCCGTGGATCGCACCCCTCGCTCCCCGACTAGCAGCGTCCACGCCTCGTTCCGCGGAGCGTTATTTCCGTCTCGGGCATCCAGTCGCCAACCATCGAAAACAAAAGCTGAATCAGCGGGACCGTGGCAACGTCACCCCCTCCGAAAAGCGTCGGACGGGGTGGTGCGAAGCGAAAATCGGGGCGAATCGCGTTTCGTGGCGGTTGGCAACCGCCGTTCGCGCGAAATCGCTCGAAATCCGCCGCGTTTCGGAGCGTATCGCGGCGGGGAAGCCGAGAAAATCTGGAAAAATCTGAGAAAACGAGAGAAAATGCGAGGAAAGCGAAGGAGGAAAGAATCCTTGTGCTTCCGATTCGATCCACGCATCCTGGCCCCCCTTTGGCGCGCCGAGGGGGAGAGAAGGAGCGAGAACCCTTGCCTCTCGTACCTGCTCCCCCTTCCCACGGTCCGTTATTCACCCCACGTTTCGCCGACTGTCTGGGACCGTGAAGCGTCGGACACGTGTGTGCGTGCTATGGGTCCTGTGCGAAATATGGCCAGGAGAGGCAGCGCGAAGCGGAACGCAGCGGAGCGGAGTGCGAGCGGAGTGTGAGCGGAGTGGAGCGGAGTGGCGCGACGAGGCGCGCGGCGAGCTCCGTGCACGCGGCTCCGTATTGTGTACGCTTGGATTTCGAGGATCGATCGACGCGACGGGACGACAGTCAGTCGTTTCGAGGCTGCCGAGTTGACCGGGTGTCGTTGAGCGACCAGAGCCGCGCCGGTTCTGCCCTCTCTCCCTCTCTTCTTTTCCAAAGTAGCCTGCTGTTCGTCGTTCCGCCGCACTTTGCGCGCCTGTCTCGCTTCTCTCTATCTAGACGCGATTACAGTGTTCACCGAGAAGGGACCATGAAGAGTGTCACCACCACGGCCACCTGCCTTCTCGTCCTGGCGCTCATCCGTAAGTCTCCAATTTTCTCTCTCTCTCTCGCCATCGCTCGCTATTCGCGCGCGAAATTCTCCAAGCTCTCGCGATCCATCGGTCGATCCGAACGAATTACAAGATACACGGGGTACATGGGCTCGAGTGACACGCAATATCTCGCGGTGTTTCGCGAATTGACGCAATTAAATCTGGCAGTCGAGGCAACGACGACGAAGACGAGGACGAGGACGAGGACGAGGACGAGGAGGACGCGTAGACGCATCGCGGCTGGTTTCGAGGACGCGAGGGGTAAAAATCTGTCCCTTTGGAACCCCTCGCGAGGGTATCGATTTTATCCGGAAAGCCACGCGCTCCGAATCTCTGGACGATTCTCCGCGTTTCGGAGCGCGATCAATCGACGAACGCTTGCGTGAGAATAGCAGACGTTTCCGATCTCGCGCGTCCGGAGAACCGCGAGATTAATCAATTGATTCTTAACGGTCGTCAGCTCGCTCGCTTTATCGCGCCGCGCGCCAGAGCCCACGAACGCGATTAATTTCGAAATGCAAACGCGCTGGGCGTAACCCGTCTCTCGCTCCCGCTCCTCCTAACCCTTCCGCGCCGACTGCTTTCCTCTAGCTTTCCTCCTTTATTTTCCCCTTTTATTCCCCCTTTATTTTCCGCCGGCGTGTCGGCATTTTCCACGGCGCTCGGCCGATTCGCGCGGCTCTTTGTATCGCGAGGGGCCATTCGTAAAAATAGACCACCGTTTCGGCGCAACGCGCGAGAGCAGAATGCGTGGCCTCGCAGAAATAGCGCGGAAATAAGCTGCTTTTAGCGCTGTTTTCCACTCGCCGGCCGATTCGGAGAAAACGACCTTTACCGGTCGGATTGATTCGTTACGCGACGCTTATCGTCGCGGCGTCGCGACGTCCGACGCTCTGCGGTCCGGTCGAGCGAGAGTAGAGGAAGAAAGGAAATTATCGGGGAAAGATTTCCGCGCTCGTTCCGAGCCTATCTCCGGCCGACGACCGCAACTCTCGCCAATCGAAACGAAACGAAACGAAACGAAACGAAACGGACCTTTTCTCCCTTTTCTCTCCTCTTCCACTCGTTCCGACTCCGACGCGATCGTGAAACGAGCACACAGAGAGGTGGAGAACGAGGCGAGAAGAAAGGGGCGCGACCGAGGAATTCCCTGGATAATTATACACGCACAGGGGAGTAGGAGCGACCGGGTGAAACACGCAAACAATTAGCGGGGGAAAAAATTAATCTTCGCGCGACCGAGCCCCATTAAACACGTATTAATAGTGCTAATTAGCCTAATCGACCTGGCCCCGGATCGATACGCGGGATTTTCTATTTAACCACGATAAACACGGGGCACTCGTCCACCGGACTAATTAACGAGCCACTCTCGCTTATAAACACCCATAGGCACGGAAGCGGATCCGTCCACCCTCTGTATCATCCGACGCAAACATCGTCGGGGATCCGCGAGAACGCGACAATTCCGTCTTTCCATCTCTCGAGCGACCTGCAAACGCGTCTCTCTCCACCGCGCGCGCACTAGAAATGCGCAAAAAATAATTAGCCGGCGAGAGAAAGTTGTCCGCTGGCAGTGTCGGACGATCGAACGGCCGTGCCGGCGAACCAGGAAGCAGCGAATCGAAGAAACTCGCGAGGAAAGACGAGATGGATTCTAGCTTTCCTGCTCCGGGACCCGTTAACAGCGACGCCGTTGTCGCCGTTACCCGTTCCTCGTAATCCCGATTCGTTTGCGTAAGGCGTATAACGTGTTTACCGTGGTAGGCTGAGGTGTTCTACGTTCTTATCTGCGTGTATCGGGGAAAGGTGACTCATATGGCGTAATTCACGGTGGCATTATCAGTCGCGAGAGCCGGCCGTTCCAATTTCGACGGAATAAGAAAAATACTCGGCTCGTTGTTGAAATATTTGCTCGCGATAAAGCTCGCGCCTTGTGGTTACAGCCGGTAACGAGATATTAAATGGCTAGATCCCGTGCAACCGATAACGACGCTCCGCCGCGCGTCGGGATAGGGCATAGATTCGGCCATTTTACTCGGGACGCCCGGATCTCAGGACAGGATAGGAGAAGGGAAATTTCGTGGAAGAAATTTTTCCGAAATAAATTCACCGTCGTAATGGGGATTAGGAGATGATCCCGGGGATCGCATCTGGAACAGTTTCACGAGGAAACGAGCGTTTCCAACGAGAGAGTTCGCTCGATTTCTCGAACCTCGCGATTCCCGCGAGAATATCGAACGTGGACACTCGGAATGCAACGCGTGCAAGCGAGATATTCGCCCGCGGAACCGTCCCCCGTGCTTAAACTCGCGTTGCGTAAACGTTCGTTGAACGCGTTCCACCTAGGGTCGATCGTGCGATTTTCCAACGATCTTACCGGTTACTAGGCGGATCGTTGGACGGAACGGGGTCGATCGGTAGAGACGGTAGAGGCAGACGCGACGACGTTTGCAGATTCGAAGGAATTGTCCGGAAAGCGTGGCGCGAGAGCGAGAGCGTCTCCGTGGTGGCGCGGTGGAAAGAAATTGGACGAGAAATCGATACGCGGTATTCGCGGGAACGAGTTTTCCCTGGCCGTTCGGGAACGAACGAAAGGAAACGCGTGGAATGCGCGAGGGTCGAGAAAATTATCGCTCGAGCGAGTCTACGCGCGCGATAGGCGCGCTGTGTCCTAGAAAAACGGGACTCGCGAACGAGTTCGGAAGGCGATTAACGCCCACCGGGATGACCTCGCGACGCCTCGGGACGTCTCGCGAGAGGGTACACGGAGGACGAATTAAGAATCGCGAATGCTCGATTACGTCACGGACTCGCGACAGGGTCGAGCTCGAAATGGCCGAGGCGCGATACCTCGAATTCTTCGTTGCCCTGCCTCGTATCACGCGGTACCAATAAACTTGTACGGTATCGCATCGTATAAAATAGATCACGGCATAATCTATCGCGTTATTATCGTATCAAGACTACTTTGTCATCGGCAGGGTTGCAGACGCGTCTCTTTCTCTCTCTCTCTCTCTCTCTCTCTCTCTCTCTCTCTCGAGCTTCGTTCGGCGCCCACCGCGCGTCCGCGTCGTCGGGAAAATTCGACGCAGCTCCGCGACCTCCTGGAAAATTCCAAGCACGGAACCGAAAGTTTGCTCGTATACACCAGATGCGTGTATAACGCGTTCCGTGGATCGGTAGCACATGGTCGATGCGCAAAGTAGCTTGCAACGACTAGCGGGGACTGCAAACACTCGCGCGTTTACGATCCGGAGATTCCACGTCGTCAACATCGACTTCCGCCGTGGCCATATCGGGGAACGGGTGAAACGTGTCGGGACTGGAGATGGCTTACGTCGGAGACCTTGATTTTCGCAGAAATCCGATCGGCGCTTAACGTGGAAATTGGAATTTCCGATAGTTTCGGAATGGAAGCCGGATCCGAGCCGGCTCGATTACGCTCCGGTCATAAGTCGCAGGCGATACTCTCCGAGCGGGCTAAACCCGATACCGAGACCTGTATACTCCGTTGAATTCCGGCGGAAATCCGCGCGCCTGCAGAACCGTGTGCGGGCTTAAGCCCGAGGAAAGTAGCCGAGGGCTGTGCCAACTATCCGGTCCGTGACTACCGCGTAAAAGCGGCTTTCACTTAGCAGGGAGCGCGTGCAACCCGTATGTACATCGACGTTCCTGGTGAAACGGAAGCTTCCCGGACTCGTGGACGAAAAAGGGAACGAGCGTTGGTCAGATCCGACAGCTCTCGGAGCTCTAGCCTCTACGTATCCGAGATAACGAACGCGCTCGATACGACGCGGCCCGCCCTCTGTTTGCCAAGCATTCTTTCGTCGGCGACGATTCACCGATTAAACACGACGAAAAGTTGCGAAAACTTGCGAAACGTTTGCGCAATCGTGATTCGAGGAAAGGAACGATCGAGCGGTGCGAACCAAGAACGGTCTTCAACGACGACGACGACGCAGGGGCTCCTCGAGCTATCGAACGGAGCCTAGAAAGCAGACTTCCCTTTACACGGATACGAGAGTAGGACGGGAAGGAAGATTGCGTAAGGATGACGGGTTATTAGGAACCGCGAAGCTTCTAGGAGACAGACGATCGATTGTTCAGCCAATTATAGCGTCGACGTCGTCGTCGTCGATGTGACTCGAGCTCGTTCGAGGTCAGTCTCGCCTCGAACTCTAGGCGTGTGCCTTGTGGCCGGTTCAAGGAACGGATAACCGTTCCGGAGAAAAGAATAGGCCCGGCGTGTTGCATTCTTCTCGGTAGAGCTGGTCGACGACCGATTCGCGGATACCCTCTGTCCAGCTCGCGCCTGGAATCGATGACTCGGAAACTAAAAGTCGGTCGGAAGTGTCGCAGCGCGAACATCGCGTTCGAGGGGGGCGTCGGCGAGCCGGTGGAAAACGGGCTCGCGGATGCAGAAGCAGAGATAGCGGGATTTAAAAGCGCGACTCTCAGCTGCGCTTGCACTTCTTCCTCGTCCTCTTCTTTTTCTTCTTCCCTCTCGGTACACTCGCGTAATCGCGCGACCGTGGAATCTCGGGGCTCCCGGTATTATTTATAACTGGAATAAAAGACCGGTCGATAGAATGCTCTCTTTTATTTTTTCTCTTTTTTTACACTCCGGCTATTTCTTAGCACACGGACGTCACTTTTCAAGCGCGAAGCGAAGCGCAGCGCACCGATATAGACCCCGTTTAATCCCTGAAAATAGCGCCGCAGGAGTCGGCGAAAAATCGGATTCCTCTGTGAAAAGGAGAACGCGCCGAGTTCGGTCTCGCTTTGCTCGATGCACGCGCGCCTACCGGCGAGCTATCCGACACCCTCGCCATTTTCAAACGCGCCCCGCACTCTGCAACCCGCTAACCACTGGCAGCCGTATAGGCGGCGAAACAAAAAGGGGAAAGCAACGAGCGGTTTTCCACGTGTGGCTCGCTGGCTGATCGACCAACGCGTAGGACCACCGTCCCTGCACTCGTCTGTTGAACCGGAAACGGGTCAGTCGGAACTATATCGCGGAGGGAGTTCGTCCCGTATCGATTCGAGTCCGAGTCAAATTTCCCAGCCACAGATTATCTCCGCGAGCGACACCTGGATCATCGCGACCGATAGTCGAAACTTCCTCGAAACCCACGCGAGTTCCAGGCACATCTACCGTAGGGTTTAGGGAGTCGACGCGAGGGTCTAGGGGAAAATATGGAAGAGAAATTGGGAGAGGAAGAAAAATGGAGCGAGGAGGAAAAGGAAAGGCGCGATGGCGCTGAACGTTTCTTCTGACCGATTCGAACGGAAAGTCTCGCGAAGGATCTTCGCGATGGCGGGGAGAAGGTAACGAGCGAACGTGATTATCGATCTCTCGGGACACAATGAGCGAAGTAGGGCGAGATTCTCCGTCACCCGGTCCTCCCCCCAAAACTCTCCGGATCCACCTACCTTGCCCTCCGCCTCGCGAGGAATTCGCAGTCCGCTCAATTATAGACCGACCCCAGTGAATATTGGGTCAAAGGTCGAGGGGCCTCGAGAATATTAACGCGGAAGGTCGAGTCTCGTTCGTCTCTTTAACTAGACGCGACGTTTGCCTGTTTCAGAGGTTACCATGAGCGCCAACGTCTCCACGGATGCGGCCAGCTTCTTCCTGGAGATCCAGGGCAATCTCACCAAGATCGTCTGGGCCCATGCTGTCAACAGCCAGGTCGAGCTCGACAAGGCGCTCAAATCAGGTGCGGTGATCCCGTGACACGAGTGGTCCGCTCCGATTCGTCGAGATGCCGATAACGAAACGGATTTCGTAATCGCGACGAAGCGACGAAATTTATGGTTTCACCTTTGTCCCGTGCTCGCGCGAGCGGATTTCGAACCGTCCCGTGTTCCTTCGTCTTTAATATCGCGGATCTATCCGCGGAACGACGATTATCGATCGATTATCTTATCGGTTATCGTCTATCTGCATCGCAGATTTTTCACGCGTGTATTAATTTCGGATAAAAGTATAATCGATGACGAAGTAACAAAGGGAATCGGGATTGGATCGGGATCCGCGGAAAAATCTGTTTCGAGCTTGCTAAGTCCCACGAGAATTCGAGCACGCGCGCGATACGCTTGCTCCGGGCAAATGACGCAAACTTGACGCGAATTATCGGGCCGAAATGCCCAGAGGGGTTCCGAGAGACGAGGTCGAAGGTTACCCGGCGAAATTGTGTTTGCGACGCGCCTCGTCACCGTACCGGATGCACACGCGCGTATTAATTAATATTCGGTCACGTCGCCCGGAGATTTTCGAAAAACAAATCTGCTGCCCCTGCTGAATCGCAATGAGACTCGGCCAACAGTGGAAGGTCAGTCTCCGGATACGCGTGACCTTGATCCTCCAATTCCACGATTGATCGTGGTTGGCGACGGAAGCAGAGCGGACGAAAGTCGAATCCATTCCTCAGACGCGTCGTTTGTCGATCCTGGCGATAATTCATGATCAGTCACACCCGCAGAAGTCCGTGGCCAAAAATCGAATTTATTCCGTCGACGCTTCTCACTATCAGGTCGTTTGCCGATCTATAGTAGCCGAATTCGCGAAAGATCGTGTTCAAGAATCGAATCCATTCTTCCAACGCGTTGTTTAACGATCCTCGTGATAATTCGTGGTCAGTGATACCTGCAGAAGTCCATGGCCAAGAATAGAATTCATTCCTTCGACGCTTCTCACTATCAGGTCGTTTGCCGATCTATAGTAGCTGAATTCGCGAAAGATCGTGTTCAAGAATCGAATCCATTCTTCCAACGCGTTGTTTAACGATCCTCGTGATAATTCGTGGTCAGTGATACCTGCAGAAGTCCATGGCCAAGAATAGAATCCATTTCCTCGACGCTTCTCACTATCAGGTCGTTTGCCGATCTATAGTCAATTGGCGAAATTGTGTTTGCGACGCGCCTCGTCACCGTACCGGATGCACACGCGCGTATTAATTAATATTCGGTCACGTCGCCCGGAGATTTTCGAAAAACAAATCTGCTGCCCCTGCTGAATCGCAATGAGACTCGGCCAACAGTGGAAGGTCAGTCTCCGGATACGCGTGACCTTGATCCTCCAATTCCACGATTGATCGTGGTTGGCGACGGAAGCAGAGCGGACGAAAGTCGAATCCATTCCTCAGACGCGTCGTTTGTCGATCCTGGCGATAATTCATGATCAGTCACACCCGCAGAAGTCCGTGGCCAAAAATCGAATTTATTCCGTCGACGCTTCTCACTATCAGGTCGTTTGCCGATCTATAGTAGCCGAATTCGCGAAAGATCGTGTTCAAGAATCGAATCGATTCTTCCAACGCGTTGTTTAACGATCCTCGTGATAATTCGTGGTCAGTGATACCTGCAGAAGTCCATGGCCAAAAATCGAATCCATTTCCTCGACGCTTCTCACTATCAGGTCGTTTGCCGATCTATAGTAGCCGAATTCGCGAAAGATCGTGTTCAAGAATCGAATCGATTCTTCCAACGCGTTGTTTAACGATCCTCGTGATAATTCGTGGTCAGTGATACCTGCAGAAGTCCATGGCCAAGAATAGAATTCATTCCTTCGACGCTTCTCACTATCAGGTCGTTTGCCGATCTATAGTCAACCGAATTCGCGAAAGATCGTGTTCAAGAATCGAATCCATTCTTCCAACGCGTTGTTTAACGATCCTCGTGATAATTCGTGGTCAGTGATACCCGCAGAAGTCCGTGGCCAAGAATAGAATTCATTCCTTCGACGCTTCCGACTATCAGGTCGTTTGCCGATCTATAGTCAACCGAATTCGCGAAAGATCGTGTTCGAGAATCGAATCCATTCTTCCAACGCGTTGTTTAACGATCCTCGTGATAATTCATGATCAATGACACCCGCAGAAGTCCGTGTCCAAGAATCGAATCCATTTCTTCGATGCTTCCCTCCATCGCGTCGTTTGTCGATCTATAGTCAACCGAATTCGCGAAAGATCGTGTTCGAGAATCTAATCCATTCTTCCAACGCGTTGTTTAACGATCCTCGTGTTAATTCATGATCAATGACACCCGCAGAAGTCCGTGGCCAAGAATGGAATCCATTTCTTCGATGCTTCCCTCCATCGCGTCGTTTGCCGATCTATAGTCAACCGAATTCGCGAAAGATCGTGTTCAAGAATCGA